TAAATAAATAAATAAATAAATAAATAAATAATAAAAAATAAAATCATAAGCATCTTCTTTGGATAGACATGCTCAGCATCCTGGAAAGAGGGCAAACAAGTCAGCCATCATAATTACTAGCTACACTCACGCTGCACAGCAAAGGTTCTAAATGCAAGTAAATTTAATATCATAAAGTGAAAACAAAATGCCTAAATTTTCGCAGATGCTTAAAATAAAGTTTTGAGTGAGACGTTTACATTTCTTCCAATCAGGGCAAGTTGGGAGAAAGTGTTTTGAAACATACCCAATACCAGCAGAGGTCTCTGCAGCTGAGTGTTGGGTGAGAATTTCCTCTCCACGACTGGCTACTGACCGCAGGAGGCTCTTCTGCTCTGCTAATTCCTGTTCCAACTCCTGCTCAAGGAAAAGGAGAAATGAAAATATTAGGTACTTTGTGATTATTCCCTATAATCATGGTTCTATGTCTCGAAAATTCTCAGACAACTCCTGTAGTTAAGTTTACAAGTTTGGACGTTGCATAAAAGGTGTGGTTTAGGTAAATGCACAAACATGCCTCCAAAATACTCTATACCTTTCTTTGACTTTGATAAAAGATATCCGAAAAATCCTGTGGGGGGCGGGGGAAAAAAAAAAAGAAAAAAGGAAAAAAAATTCTGCTGGACAATGGCGCCCTCAAGTGGTGCACAATACTGCCTATTCTGACTGAGACAAATCCTTGAAATCCCCACTCTTCCTTGATAAATTGAACAATCAATGGATTTGTTTTGCTTTTTTACTACTTACGAAAAAATGTCTTTTCTGTTTGAGAAAATAAAAGATTTTGCTATGCCCCATAGATAGCAATGAGAAGGTATCAATGAGAAATCATTCTTACTCAACAAAGCTTGTTTGTTTCACTATCCAATAATTTGCAATCCTATTTTGTGATGGTATCTACATAAAAGTGAAAAATAAATTGCAGTTTTAACAGAGTTTTAAAAAACATGGAACTCAGGCTTTGGCCAATTCTCAAAGGCCTTCCTAAGATAGGCTCAAATTAGGGCAAAGGTGAAAATAGGGTAGGTAACCTTCATAAGGCAGATTATCATCGAGTCACGCGATTTGTAAACCTGAGCACAAGCTTTTCTTAAAGAAAAGGACCAACCACTCTAGTGCTCATAAGAAAGTACGCTGAAACAGTTAGCCAGGCCTCGTTTCTGTCCAAAGAGAAGATAAAGGGGGGCTTTGTGTTTAGTCCAGAAGTAACTTGTCCATCTAAAACATTTCTCTCAAGGTGTCTGCTTGGCAGAGAGGTCAGAAATGCTTTACTTTTTGTTGCTGGAGACTGCTCTGTCGCTGGTGGGCCCATGCAGTCCGTGCTTGGGCCAGCCATTCCTGGACACCGGGGCTCTGACTGGCGGTGAGGTCGGCATGGCTCTCCTCCTTCTCTTGGGCTGTTCCCTGCTTTTAATGAGGCAGAATTCAAGAGTCATACTCCCCACAGAAAAACCTTAACCAAATGGAGTAAATGCTACTTTAGTGTGGTCTGTATAATGATACCCAAGTAGATCCATTCGGACATGAAACCACAATGGAAAAAAAAAAAAAAAAAGGTAACACAAAACCCATTGGATTTATGGTATTTGCAGAAAGGAGAACAATAAATAGATGATTATACTCAAATATTTGAGGGGGAAACTGTCTACTTAGAGGCTAGGCTTTTTAGCTGACTGATGTGGTCGCCAGATATTCCAGGATGTTTTCCATGAGAATATAACTCTAGATCTCACTTCCTCTACTATCACCACCCAGACCAGACCCCACTGTCATCTGGTGCCACTGGTGGCTTGGATAATGTTTGGCTAAAGGAGAAAGACAGGAGTAATTACTCATTACCTAGGCAAGAGTTCATCTTTCCTGCTTGATTATTCTGATGGAATTTGAAAGGCCCTCTAATAGTGCATTACCAGGATGGCATCAGTTCAGAACGAGAGCCTTTCTCCTCACATGTATGTATATGTCAAAAGATAAATTACACTATCTTCATATAACTCATTCACTAACTACTTATTACATAAGCATGTGCTGTGTGTCAGCCACTGTTCTAGGCATATTCTGCCAAGAAGCCAGACAAGGGCCCTGCTGGGGAGACAGACAATAAACAAACAAGATTAGTTAAGAGCTGCAAAGAACATGAAACTAGAAAATCTGGGTGGCTCTGTCGGTTAAGTGTCCAACTCTTGGTTTCAGCTCAGGTCATGATCTCATAGTTCATGAGTTTGAGCCCCGCATCCGGCTCTGCACTGACAGCACAGAGTCTTCTTGGGATTCTCTCTCTCTCTCTCTCTCTCTCTCTCTCTCTCTCCCCCCCTCCCCCCCCCACTCTCTGCCCTTCCCCCACTCGCACTGTCTCTGTCTCTCTCCAAATAAATAAATAAACATACAAAAAAGGGTGGCGGTGGGGTGGGGGGGGGTGGCGGAGAAAGAATGTGAAGGGGAAGGTTTCCTAGGCTGGTCAGGGAAAACATCTGGAGAAGAGACAACTGCACTGAGCCCTGAATGATGAGAAACCGCCTGCCTGGCAAAGACCTAGGTGAGGTGGAGGGCCCTCCAGGCAGAGGGAACAGCGGGAGCAAAGACCATGAGGGGAAAGAAATCTGGCATCTCAAAGACAGCAAGCCAGTGAAGGGGCCAGTGTGGCTGGAGTGTGAGGGCAGAGAAAGACAGTTTATAGGTGGCTTCCACAGAGGTTCAGTCCTGCCCTCCGGCTCCAGACCTTGGGATCTTCACTATCAAATCTGACCAAAGAATGGCACCTGGCCGCTCCAGTCATCCAGCGTGACTTCTCACAAAGACCTTTCTCTTCCTCTTATTTTCAGAATTCTACACTAAATCTTCAGGGAAATACATCGAGTTGTTTACCGTTCTGTCTTCTTCATTAGAATTTTACGATTAAATTGCAAAGTGTTTGAGATAATGTGGAGATCATGAACTTTGCAATGTTGGTATCGCTTCTTGAAGTACAGTGAATGCACAGAAACTGTGAACCCCACAGGTAATATTATACATAATCTTCTCCCAGATTCTGAGCCACCTTAGCTCACAGCTAACTTCCTTTCCTTTAAGATGATCCGTCTTCCCAGAAAGAGACTATGGCTCATACAGAACAGTGGGGATGCCATTGGTCTAAAGTATGCAATTTGCATTTCACAGGACCTTCAGAATGGGAGACCAGTGACACCCAGTTTAGTATATACCCCACTCCCCCAGGAATGCCTCGTACAGATAAACAGTGATTTTCCTGAAGGTGAGAGGTATGGGGTGCATGGACACTCTTCAGTACTGAAGCCCGTGAATTTCTGCATGAAACAGATTCTCTCCCATCTGAGAATGCACCATATACCCAACATAAACTCTGCAAGATCCTGGCTCTTCTGGTAAGGATGAAATAGCAGGTCAAGAGGGACCTGCAGAGAATGACCCAAAGGAAGTCAGTGTACCAGGCTGAAAGCTGTCCCCAGTGAGACCTGTCCCAGCTGACAAAACAGTGGTCATGGCCACAATCTGCTGTCTCTTGTGGGACCCACTCACTTCCCCTCTGCTTTGCTCTTTAGCAAAGGTTTGTTTTCAAAGTCCAGCCTGGAAACTCATGTGGTGAGTTCTTTAGGGGCACCACCTCACCCTTCTACGCAGGTTACTCTTGTCCAACTGAGAGATTTTTTTTTTTTTTTTTTCCAATTCCTCACACCAAATTTCTGCTTGGAAAAATGACAACTGAAATGTTAGAGCTTAAGAACAGCTTAACTACTTTTACATGCACAGACACATATTCAGAATCTAAGATTTAAAATCTAAGAGGAGTCGTATTTCACTAATTGAATCCACAGCTTTAGAGAAACAAAAATTAAGAAGCATCAAAAGCAGATGTTAGGATGTATTTTCTATGTGGTTTGGTTCCGTTTTTCAGCTAGTAAATTTTTCTTTGACTGATTCAGTCATTTTGAAACATAAGACTTGGACCACAGGAAACAAAAAATGATTAAGAATACAGTTCAAATTTCATTCCCTTTCCCCTTGGGATGAGAAGGCACTGACAGAAGGAATAGGATAATGGTAATTATGTGCTAAAAGGTTTGATAACCCGTCATCTCTCCTACTTAGGAAATAGGAAGTAAGGCAGCCTGTCACCAGAGTTCCCCTAGGGTGGGGCTACATAAGCTGTTTAATTTGGAAATACTAGAAAAGTAATCACTTTTGCCAGGAACATTCTTTAGAAGATTAGTGAGGATTGGAAATGCTAAACATTAAATAAAACATTTCTTTATAAAGCATTTCATTATTTATATTGGGTAAACTTTCTGCTCCTTCAAAAGCTGATAATGTTGAAAATAACTTAAACATTTTATGAGGAAAGATACCATGTAATTTAGGAGACAGCATTACATGCCCTTACGTCTATGTCCCTTCACAAAGAGAAGGAACCTATTTGGGGTAGGTGGGGAACTAAAGGGACTGGTTATTCTTTGATACATACAGAAGTCCAATTAGTTAAAAATATGGTCATGACAGATATGACCATTTTGTAGGCAAGTGGCACTGAGAAATGGTGTGCTTATGGGCACACAACTCCAGCCATCTTGAATCACGCAAACCCCGAGTGGAGGGTACAACCTCACCGACATCTACATTCAATGGAAGATTTTTTTTCCCCAATCAACATTCGTTAATTTCAGATCAACTCTGAATTTTGAAGGCAAATGATCCTTCTCATGGTAATAATAATGTAAACAGGGCTCCTGTTATTCCTACAGTTGGAAAAATAATCTCTTCAACTGGCTCTAATTGTAAAAAAAGGAAAATCAGTATTTTCTATGCTGGAAACTCATTAGACTAAAGATGAGGGAATTCATAGATACTTAAAAACAAACAATAATCAGTTTCAATTCAGTGAAACGCTACCACATTTTCCAGTATTTATACTTTTTATAGCAGTATCCTCAGCAAATCCTTCCACTCGTGGGCAAAGACAGGATCTTACTCAGTATGAAGAATCCCCGTGGCCATGGGAAGGATCTGCTGGGTGTGAGTACCCAGGCTTTCAGGGAGCTCAGCCCTGCCCTGTGCCATCTCAAACTTAACTTTTCAGCATGTCAGGAGTTCTTTTCCTCCCAAAAGATGTGGTTGTTGTTTATTATTATAGTCACTGCTATTTGAGCACTTACTGTGAACCTTACTTGCATTAAAATCCTCAGAATTTTAAAAGCTGAATACGATAAAAAATTTTTTAATGTTTATTTATTGTTGAGAGAGAGAGAGGGAGACAGAGAGTGAACAGGGGAGGGCAGAGAGGGAGGGAGACACAGAATCCGAAGAAGGCTCCAAGTGTGAGCTGTCAGCACAGAACCCGACATGGGGCTCAAACTCACAAACCATGAGATCATGACCTGAGCTGAAGTCAGGTGCTTAATCGACTGAGCCACCCAGGAGCCCCTGAATACACTATTAAGATCCCTATTTTACAGATGAGAAACTGATTTGTAAGAAAACTGATCTGTCAGAAAGGTTGAGGCCAAGTTCAAGGATCTTGCCCTAGGTCACCTGGTTGACTGCTGGTGGTATACCAGGATGGGAAGACTGAAAGAATAGCCCCAAAGTGATGGTCTAAGAACTTAGTCTGACTTCTGTTTGGCACTAAGTTTTAAAATTAAGTGGAGATATTTTAGATATAAATCCAAATGTCCCTTGTCTGGAAGGTCTAGCAATGCTGCTTATAAACTCTTATATGACAATAGTTGGAGCTCAGTAACTGCTGCTTCTCTGACATGAGACCAGCTTGCCAAGCCCCTGACTGGGCCTGCTTTGCTCATTTATATTCCCTTCCCAGGCCCTGAGGCCCTGGAATTTGTGCCCTTATCCTCCCACCCCCACCCCGCCAACCCCCTTTTAATCCTGACCTGTGCCACCTGTGTATCAGGTTGTCCCTTCCCTTCCTCCCTGCCTCTAGGGGTAGGGCACAATCACAGCCTTCTAAATAATAACTATTACCAGATGTGAAACCTTGAAGTCTCTCCCTCTGATTTGGTTCCTTTAGAAGTCAAGTTCATTTATACACCACCATTGGGGGGGGGGGGAAGCATTATGTATTAGATTAGTAATACTTTTTAATAAAACCAAGTATATTACTATGAACTTTTACAGTTAGAAAAGCATTCTCATTCTGTTCAATTTTAATATTTTTAGTTTTTAATTAATTTTGTAAAATTTGCATATTCCCTACTCCCTAATTTGAATATTTTTAATGCTTTACTTTTTGCTTTAATCTATAAAGTCAGATTGCACATTTTGGTTTTATTTATTTATTTATTTTTGAGAGAGAGAGAGAGAGAGAGAGAGCGCATGCTAGAAGGGTGAAAGGGGCAGAGGGGGAGAAAGGGGGAGGGGGAAGAGACAGAGAGAGAGAGAGAGAGCGAGAGAGAGGGAGAATCTTAAGCAAGCTCTAGGCTCAGCACAGAGCCAGACCATGGGCTCAATGCAGGGCTCAATCCCACGACCCTTGGATCATGACCTGAGTCCAAACCAAGAGTCCAATGCTCAACTGACTGAGCCATCCAGGGGCCCCGCATGTACATTTTTAACTATGTAAATTTAAGGTGAAAAGCTGTATTTCATCTTTGTTTGCATTTATTTAACCAATGTTTAACCAAATATATTTTCATTAGTTCATTGGCCATTTGTATTTCTCCTCATTTGAATGGTCCCTTCCTACTTTTGCCCATATTTCTATTCTGTGACCTCTTCTTACTGATTTACAAAAGATTTGTAGAAATTAAGGGAATTAATTCTTTGTCATGTGATTTATACAGTTTCTTCTCTATTTGTCTATGTCTTTTCATTTAGTTCCATTTTTCTGGTCATACAGAACTGTTTCATTTTTCATTTTGGTCCTACAGAAACTAAAATTCCGGGTTTGGGGCATACCAACAAAGATCCTTCCCATCCTAAGATTTTTTTTTTTTTTTTAAATACCCATATATCCAGAACTTTTCAGGTGTAAATACTTGGTACCTCTGTGATGCTTTTTTTTTCTTCCTGTAAAGAATGGGATAAAACATCGATTTTATCATATTTCAAGGGGTTCACCTATTGCTTTCTTATTATTTTATCCACTGATCTGAAATGTTACCTTTACCATTAATCAATTTTCCTTAAATACTGGGGTCTCTTTCTGGAATATTTATTCTGTAATATTTTTTGTTCATCTATTTATGGGGCCGATGTCAAACTATTCTAATTATTGTAATATCGTACTTTGATATATGGTAAGATTAAATTAGCTGCTCCTAACTCTTCAGTTTTGGAATATTACGGTTATTTTCACATTTATTGTATTCCAGGTAAACCTGGAATCATTTTCTCACATTTTGTATCCTTGTGTTACAATCCAAAAGCATAGTATTTTAGTTAAGAATAACTTAAACTTAGGGATTCTGAGTCGCTCAGTTGGTTAAGCATGTGACTGGATTTTGGCTCAGGTCATGATCTCACAGATTGGGTTCCATGCTGGCACAGCAGCACCTGCTTGGGATTCTTTCTCTACCTCTGTCTCTGCCCCTCCCGTTCTCAAATGTGCATGTATTTTCTCTCAAAAATAAAATAAATAACCATTAAAAAGAAAAAAAAGAATTTTTAGGTATGAGTGGTAAAGAGTAGATATTGGGGGGAAAATTATTCAACCACTTAAAGGTTGAAAAGAAGAAAAAAAGAATAGAAAGAGGAGAACAAAAACCAAAACCAAAAAGTAAGCTAATAGAAGTCTACACATATCAGTAATCACAGTAAATTTAAATGAACTAACCCTGTCCTTTAAAAGTCAGAGATTTTCTGATTAGATAAATGTTTAAAACCAACAAAATATAGCCAAATGTTTTCTTACAAAGCAAATCTAAAACCTAAGGACGCTGAAAGGTGAGATCAAAGGAAAGTTAAAGGATATACTAGGCAAATATTATCCCCCAAAAGCTCCAGTGATATAAAATGAAAATCACTATTAGGGAACAATAAGGTCACTACATGAGAGTAAAAATTTTTAATTCACCTGAAATACATGACAGTGTTAGAGGTATGAGCCCTAAATTAAAAAGTCTGAGTATTTCTGAAAAGTAGAATGTAGGACAATGAAAGAAACATGGAAAAAATGTTATTAAATATCTTAATCTTGACCTATGTTTAAATACTTTTTAAAAAAGTGTAGTTGTGGGGCACCTGGATGGCTCAGTCAGTTAAACGTCCGACTTCAGTTCAGGTCATGATTTTGCAGTTCATGAGTTCGAGCCCCACATCGGGCTCTGTGCTGACAGCTCAGAGCCCGGAGCCTGCTTCAGATTCTGTGTCTCCCTCTCTCTCTGCCCCTCCCCTGCTCACACACAGTCTCTCTCTCTCTCAAAAATAAACAAACATTTAAAAACAAATTTTTTTAAATAGCATAGCTGCTAAATTTGGGTATTTGTTTTCATTTTCTTTTGTTTTCCTATCCTGCCATCTTCAGGTCTACAGATTCAAACAGTCCTTACAAAACCTATTGGAAAACCTATGCCAAAGTTTGTGGAAAGTGGAAGTGTACCTAAGTATGCATCATTCCCCAGCTCTCCCTTGATGGACCCCAGGCTGGGAAAGGCCGGCAGCAGTGAGCCAGGACCGGGAGGTGCTGTGGCCCTGTCCTACTGTGGGTGGCTGGAGCCCTCACCTGCATGAGGAGCTGTTTGTCATGTAGGGCTCTCTGCAGCTCCAGGAGGCTGCCCTTGAGGGTTCTCAGCTTCACGGCCAGCTGCTCTGCCTCCTCCTTGGTGTGGGCCTTGCCCTCCAGCAGCAGGTTGTCATTGTGGACCGACAGCTCCGATAGGGCCACCACCTTCTGCTCGATTTCCACTAGCATGTTCTGGAACGACAGAAATATGGATGAAATTCACGCATCCCGCCAGCCGCTGCAAACGTCGTTTCTCAAAGATAAACATCACACTTCCTGTCACCAAAAGAAGAGGACTTCATGGTTTTTTCCTACTTTTCTGACCGACCTGAAGAGTACTTACAGATTTTTAAAGATTCCTTGAGCTTCCTAATATTTCTCTCCTTTAAGATTAGATACTATATAGGGGAAAACATATTGGAAAAGTACCAGGAAAGCATGGATAAGGAGAAAAGACCATTCCTTAGTGTTATCCCATTATTATAACTGTTATTATTTTAGTGTGAGACTGTGACGCTTATGACTATTAGCAGTAAAGACATCATATGATCAACACTTTCTTGTCAGTTTAAAGATGATTCTCTCTTTTAAGACATTGCTTCTTTGTGTTTTTTTTTTTTTTTTCTGTTTCCTTTTCAGATTGGCTTTTATTTCTTGGTTTTCAATGTTTTTTGTACATAATGTATTTTTAAGCTTACATTTCTAAAAGTTTTCGTAAGAATTTTACTTTCACTTTCTGTGACAACTCTCGAGGGCTTGCCTTTTCTTCTCAAATAGAAGCTAAATCCCAAGAAGGAGCAAAATAGTCTCCCTTCCTCCAAGGTAAGAGTTAAAACAAAAACTATCACCCATTTTGCCCTCTCCCACAGCCACCGTCAATCCCCTGTTTGTTCTCTGTATTTAAAAGTTTCCTACGGGGGCGCCTGGGTGGCGCAGTCGGTTAAGCGTCCGACTTCAGCCAGGTCACGATCTCGCGGTCCATGAGTTCGAGCCCCGCGTCAGGCTCTGGGCTGATGGCTCGGAGCCTGGAGCCTGTTTCCGATTCTGTGTCTCCCTCTCTCTCTGCCCCTCCCCCGTTCATGCTCTGTCTCTCTCTGTCCCAAAAAGAAATAAACGTTGAAAAAAAAAAAAAAAATTAAAAAAAAAAAAAAAGTTTCCTACGGTTTGCCTCCCTCCGTCTTTGGAAAATGGGTGATGGGCATCCAGGAGGGCACTTGTTGGGATGAGCGCTGGGTGTTGTATGTAAGTGATGAACCATGGGAATCTATCCCAAAGACCAAGAGCATACTCTACACATTGTATGTTAGCCAATTTGACAATAAATTACATAAAAAAAACCCCCAAAGAATAAAATTTGAATGGAAATAAAATAAAACTAAAACAAGAACAAAATAAAAACATCAAAGCTAAACCAGTAACAGCCGTTTTATTTTCTACACAAATCATTCTGTTCTTATATTCCTTAACTTTCTAATTTGTATGCAAGTAAATAATTTATTAATGAGGAAAGATATTTTATTTCCTTGTGCAAAATCAGAAAAACTGCCACCACCTTTTAAGAATATAGGCTTGAACCAAATAACTAGAACTAAATGGAAGTGTGAAATGTTTAATGAAATGGGGTTTAAAGGATGATTTCCTAAAGATTATTTTTGAGAAACTAATATAATTCTATGAAGGACAGACTTTTCCATTAGGCCGAGTTACCACAATGCTGAGGGCTCATGATACTTTCAGAGGCCCAATAAAAATCTTAATTTTAATTTCTTTCAAAATCAGAAGAGAAAAATGAATAAAATAATGAATATGTAACAATGAATCCACCCTGGCTCATATTAGTCTTTGTACCAAGGCAGTTATAAAAATAAAATATTTAGCACTTTTATAGAGGCAGAGCCCACAGAAGCAAAGCGCCGAGGGTCCCAAAAGTCATAATGTGACCCTAGTAATAGCCACAGTTATAATTACACAACTGGCTTAAACACCAGATTTTAACTGAGTGAGGAACTGTTGGGTACTTGTATGGTTCCATTTACATCTGGTTTCTAAAAATGTCATCAAAATACCATTTGAATACTTCATAAGTATCCTGAAATATATTAACTGAATTGTGGACTTTACACACAGCTATAAAAATAGAGACATCCAAAAGGGAGAGGTGGGAGTAATGGTAAAACATAATTTTGGAATGCTAGTTAGTACATGTGCTAATTTTAAGCACTAGAAGGGAGTGCTAAAAATGGATGTTTCTTTTCAGCAAGGAAACCTTAGAAAAGATGATCTAAAGAATAGAAAACATTTACATGTGGTCCTCTATTCTCTGTCATCAAGGCAGAGAATAACAATGCTTTGAATACACATAGATAAGTTGCCTGAAAAATATAAAAATCCAAGTTCTAATGATCAATATCACAGTAAATCCCAAATCACTAAAGGAATGATCAAAATAGCGTGCTACACATTAAGAAAAAAAGATAGTGTTCACTAACAATGTTTGCATATTTTCTGATTGCAATTAGGAGAAATATCAAGTCACGCATACTGTTGTCCAAGTAATATATCAGAAATAGAACCAAAATTGCAGTAGAGCACCTAGGAACACCCCTTGCTGTGTTGATCCACAGTCTGATTGGCTGATACCAATTCTTTTCATTGGTTTGTATTCTTTACTAGCCACTAAATACAGATACCATAAGTGTTTTGGGTATTTATGGTCTTTAAAAAAATGTCCTTTAGGAAGCTGAAGTTAAACTTTTTTTAATGTTTTACTTATTTTTGAGACAGAGAGACGTGAAGGGACAGAGAGAGGAGACACAGAATCTGAAGGAGGCTCCAGGCTCTGAGCTGTCAGCACAGAGCCTAATGCGGGGCTGGAACTCACGAACCACCAGATCATGACCTGAGCCAGTCAGCTTAACCCACTGAGCCACCTGGGTGCCCCAAAGCTGAAAACTTTCTAAAGAGTAGATACTACTGGCAAAATTTTTCAAAAGACTAAGTCCAATTTTGGATTTCATTTAAGCTTTTATAAGGTATTGTTTTTCTACTCTAAACATACAAAGGTATGGATTGTGAAAAAAATCATACATCCATACCAAGTCTTTTTCCTATTACGTTTTCTGTGCTTCAACAAAGTACTTGGTGCTGTTGGAGTATCTCCTCCAGACCATTTTTGTACCTGGCAATCCACCAGCTGGGCTTCCATGTCCATAGGCTCCTGGGCTGTACCCAGTGCGGTGTCCAGAGTGGCCTTGGTGCTCAGGAGCCAGTGGTCCAGCTCGTCGGCTTCACAGCGGTACCTCTGCAGGGCCTGCTCCTGTCTCTGTTCCTCAAGCTGATCATTTAACTTCTCCTAATGAATTAAGTAGAATGTGACACAGATCACCGAGAGGTACAGTCGTTAGGGTTCAACACAATAGAACCAGGTTCTTAGCCCCAGTTGCTCGTCAGAATCCCGTGTGAAACTTAAAAACACAAAACAAAACAAACATGCTTAGGCCGCATCTCAGAGCAATAAATGAGAATTTCTGGAAGTGAGTCTCAGGATTAGTATTTTGATAAAGCTTTTCCAACGATTCTCATGTGCGCCTAAAGGTTCAGGTAAGATTAAGGTTAGGTGTCTTATGTAATATACCTACAGGGCTGGGCAAATAACGCGAATAATGGAAACAGACCAAGCATTAGAACGAAACAATGGCATAAGGCGGTAAACGGCAATAGATACGTTACCACAGTGTCTGGGGAACCGCAAGGAGTGGCGGGGACAGTGGCAAGCATGGTCAGGGCACCAGCACACAGCCTAAAGCAAGTCACCCCCTACAGGAAGCGGGGGGGGGGGGTGTTTCAGGGGACAAGTTTCTTGAGTGAAGACAGAAATTCAAATTTTTTGGTTACATCTCTGAGTTTTCTCACTGATGGCAAATAATTCATATTTAAGAAAAAAAAATCCAAGCCAATCACTTCATTTTAAAACTCCACACAGATTTCCTGTGTAGAGTGATGAGGGAGAATATTAATGAGTTAAAAAAGGAATTCTTAAGGTAAGTATTCTAACTAAACACCTTATTTTAAAAATTAGTTCCGGGGCGCCTGGCTGGCGCAGTCGGTTAAGCGTCCGACTTTAGCCAGGTCACGATCTCGCGGTCCGTGAGTTCGAGCCCCGCTTCGGGCTCTGGGCTGATGGCTCAGAGCCTGGAGCCTGTTTCCGATTCTGTGTCTTCCTCTTTCTCTGCCCCTCCCCTGTTCATGCTCTGTCTCTCTCTGTCCCAAAAATAAATAAACGTTGAAAAAAAAAAAAATTAAAAAAAAAATAAAAATTAGTTCCTTAATGACTTACTACTGTTGTTTTTTTTTTTTTATAAGAGTTTTTGGTCTGTTCCACATTTTGTTTTTAACATTTATTTATTTTTGAGAGACACAGAGAGACAGAGCATGAGTAGGGGAGGGGCAGAGAGAGAGGGAGACACAGAATCTGGAACCATGCTCCAGGCTTCGAGCTGTCAGCACTGAGCCCGACGTGGGGCTCGAACTCACGAATCGCGAGATCATGACCTGAGTCAAAGTCGAATGCTTAACCGACCAAGCCACCCAGGCGCCCCCTGTTGTTATTTTTTAAATTAAAATTTTTATTGAATAGTTGAAAACGGAGATTAAATAAGGCTGACACATTGATTTTAAATGTCTCCCAAACAAAAAATATACAAATATATGATTTGATGAATCTTATAACAGGTAAAACTGGAAAGAGCCTATACACTCCAACAACAGGTCCGTGTTCTACTGAATCACGGCATAACCAGCAGATAAAAAACATAATGTTAAGTCCATTTAACAAGAAATGTATTGAGAACTGATTATGTGCCAGAGAAGCTATTTGACCCTGAAGATACAAGGAGAGAGACACTCTAAATGTCCTTAAAGAGGTCTCTTGTCTAATCTAATTTATAGGAGCCACAACATGAACATCGTGTATGTTTAGGACCAGGAATTACAAGGGAACAAAGAAAAAGCAAAATAACTTATTTTTTAACCCATGTTATTGTTACCAAAATTTATCTATTAAATAATGTTGAAGTAACACGAGAACCAGAATTGCAAAACTATTTTCATGAACTAACGCGCTCGAATTGGCTAAGAATGACTAAGGATTTATTCTTCAGGGTATTAGTAATACTACTCATGAAATGCTTTTTATTCAAACATAGCAAACCCTTATGCAAACCTTTTACAATTATTCTTCACAAGGCTCATGCCTACCAAGTTTTCCTTTACGCATTCTCAATTTTTCATGCTGAAATGAGTCAGAAAGTGGTGAAAAGACACATTCATGGCTGTCCACTCAGTGCTCTATTCATGAGACCCTCCTTGAGACACACACAATACCAGCTTCTTCTGAGTGGGAAACTATAAAAATGTAGATCACGTAAAAAACCCGCATGCTTGGCAACACAACTTGAAGAGTTAATTTGGACGCGAGCGGCACCTTCAGGGTTGTTACCTCCAAAAGCTGTCGCTTCCCTGACGCCATCATCTTGATGGTGGACATCCGCTCGGCTAAGACGGTGAGCGTGGACTGCAAGGCCAGCTGTTCCGCGGGGTCGGACTCGGGAGACTGGGACACCAGCTCCTCCGCCAGAGATGACTGGAGCTCACTGATCTCCTCTTGAAGCATGAGAATCTCATCCATCAGTGCCTGTGGAGAAGACTGTGGAATCACACTCCTGTATGTACTTTTTTGGACTGAGGCATCGTGTCATTAGCTGAGTCTCACGTCGGTTGAGATTAATGAAGATAATTCACATGGAAGTCCTTTAACCAGCAAACAGGTTCCGAAATGAAAGGACTGGAATGAATGCCAGGCAGTTTCCGGTTTCAAAACCATTGTGTCACTAACGTAAATGAATTTGAACGAGTTCGTCAATCCTTCTGGCTTTCACTGGGCTCATCTGCAGTCCGGGAGGGGAGCTTGCTCAGTGTGAGTCTGAGTCTATGACTCTATATTGAAAGCAGAATTCATTACTTTCTTCCTCAACATGATTTTTCCCACTCCAAATTTCCCCCAAGTCTGAGCAACAACACTGCGCTTTAACCCAAAGCTCACATTACACAAGACCAGGGCGATCGGTCACCTGTTTCTATGTTCTCACCCTCTCCTCACTTTCGCCTGCTCTTCCTGGCTCTAAAACCTGAAGTTTCTCAGCTAACTTCCAGGTCCCTCTTTTCTCTCCTCGCAGTCTCTCCCAAGGCTGGGGGGTGGGGGGGTGAGGGGGTGTCCATTCCTGAGGCTTCAAATGTTTTCTAACCCTGAAGGCTCCCAGGGTCATGTTCCTAACCCAAATATCTGTCTTAAATTTTAGGGTTTATACTCGACACACACATTTCACGGGTATCAACAGCATATTATGTGTAAAGCCTGCTTCCTCCTCTGTCTTCCTCACCTCACTGAAAGCTAACACCCTCTCACTGTTCAAGTTCAAGACCTAGGAGTCATGCCTCACACCTCCTCTCCATCCCTCACCATATCCAATCCCACACCAAGCCCTGCACTATGGATCCGATGTGTCTCCTCTGCCCCAGCCCAAGTCAGAGCCAACTCTCCTACCTGAATGGCTCTAATGGTCTCCTGGTTGGCCTACCTGCTTACAAGCTTACCTGGTCTCTCCAGTCCACTCTGCACAAAGCAACTGGGGTGAGCTTTTAAAAAGCTCTCACTTTCCTGCTTTTAAATACCTAGTGGCTTATTGCCCGTAAGATAAGGGCCAAAATCCTTATCTTACCTGTATGTCTCACCACTTTCTGCCACTGTACCACACCCCCTTCTCCCTCGTGACATTCCTGCCTTTTGCCCTCAGTCCAGGACCTCCAGCTCTTTCTGGCAAATACCACGCTAATTTCTTTATTCATATCCATCACAATTATATACATGGTTTTTATTTCTCATTTTTTTGGTATGTTATGACTCGTTCTTTAACTGGAATCTTGACAGGAGAAATTCTTATGTAGGATTTGAATGGCGTCTTAGAAAAAACAGGTCCTACCACAGGAGGGAGCACCGAGATGTCAAGTAAAGGAACACAGGCTTATATTTACCGGTATTTCATAGTTTCCAATGTACCTGCACTTACATAGTTCACAGCTCTGCCACAGGACCGTAGGCTTCAATGCAAGCCCGGTGCCTCCTGACCGTGGGCTCTCAATAAATATTTTAAAACGAAATAACAAAAACCCCTTCTCTTCTCCTAATATTAAGTGCCATCATATACAGTTAATTTTTTTAAATAAACAACTATATTGAAGTCATTCTATATGTCTAGAAAAGTGCACAGACCCTAAGTGTAGAGCTCTATAAATTTTCACAAACTGCACATACCCGCTCCTGCCACTCAGATCGAGAAACAGAACATTCCCAGGACTCTACAATCTCTTCTGATCTCCTCCCTGTTACTACCTCCCTCCTTGCCAAAGATCACCACAGTGTTACCTGTAAACATCATAGGTTACTTTGGCCTCTTTTTGAGCTCTATAAAAATGGAATCATACCCGAAGTACTTTCCTGTCTGGCTTCTTTCCCTCCCTGTCATGGTTGTGAAAGGTACGCATGTTGACGATGATCATTTTCATCATTGCGTAGCACTCCACTGTCACCTGGTTTTGGATCCTTTCCGGTGAAGCCTTTCTAGTGGGTTCATGGTAGTACCTCACTGTAATTTTAATTTGCATTTCCCTGATGACTAATGAAATTGAGCACTTTTTTTTAATGTTTTTTTAATGTTTATTTATTTTTGAGAGAGAAACAGAGCGTGAGCAGGGTAGGGGGTCGAGACAGAGGGAGACACAGAATCTGAAGGAGGCTCCAGGCTCTGGGCTGTCAGCACAGAGCCTGACATGGTGCTCGAACTCGTGAGTGCGGGATCATGACCTGAGCTGAAGTCAAACACCCAAACAACTGAGCCACCCAGGTGCCCCGAGATTCAGCACTTTTCCTGTTTTTTAGCCATTTGGATATCCTCTTTTGTGATTGCCTGCTAAAAATCTTTTGCCCACTGGAGTCTTTCCTTTTCTTACTGATGTGTAAAGTTGTTTATATATTTTGGATAGGAGTGCCTGCATTCCTTTTGGTTCTATGTATTGCAAATATCTGCTCCCACTTTGTGACATGGCTGTCCCTTAATGGGAATGACTTCCTTACTGGTGCCTTTTGATAAAATGAAATTCTTAAATTTATTACAGTCTAATAATATCAGTATTTTCCTTCACTGGAAAACTCAGGGTTAGGTTTTGGTGTCCTATTTAAGAGATCTTTGCCTATCCCAAAGTCATGAATATATTTTCCCAAGTTACCTTCTAGAAAAATGGTATTCAAGGTGTGGCCTATAAAATAGTATCAGTCTATGCAAAATGTTTACCGATTCATGACAAGATAGAGATATTGTAGGTGTCAAGAAACTTGTAAAGCAACTGGACATTGACATGTCCTAGCAGCATTTTATTTTCTAAAATATTGGTCTGTGATGGGTCAGAAATTTTAAAAATTAAATAAGGTTATTTAGTACAGATAGTTTGAGAAACTCTGTTGCAAAACTTTTTTTTTTAACCTTCACATTTAGATCTACAATACCCTTAAACTTAATTTTTGTGTTCAGCCATAGATAGGGGTCAAAATTCTTTTTGTTTCTTATTAATATCAATTGATCCTGCCTAATTTACTGAAAATAGTATTTTTAATCCATTGTTTTGCAGTATAATATTGGACATAAACCAAGCGTCTGTATGTGTCTGTGTGCCTACGACTTCTAATTCTGTTCCACTGACCCAGCTGGCTGTCTGTGGCAACACCACACTATCATAATTTCTACCGCTCCATAAGTCTCACTCTCTGGGAGGATACATTCTTCAACCTTACTCATTTTCCTCAAGACTGTCTTGGCTATTTTTGACTCTTATACATTTGTAATATATTTATATAGAATTAGCTTATCAATCTCCACCAAAGACCTTACTGGAATATTTTAATGAGATTGTAATGAATTTAAAGACTGACTTTGTGGGGCGCCTGGGTGGCGCAGTCGGTTAAGCGTCCGACTTCAGCCAGGTCACGATCTCGCGGTCCGTGAGTTCGAGCCCCGCGTCAGGCTCTGGGCTGATGGCTCGGAGCCTGGAGCCTGTTTCCGATTCTGTGTCTCCCTCTCTCTCTGCCCCTCCCCCGTTCATGCTCTGTCTCTCTCTGTCCCAAAAATAAATAAAAAACGTTGAAAAAAAATAAAAAAAAAAAAAGACTGACTTTGTTATATATTCAAAACGCTTTTTCTGCAGCCAATTACTTTCCACTACTTCATAATCATATTTTGATTACTGCCAAATATACAAAATTCATATTATTTGGTCTCTCTTTTTTTTTAAGTTTATTTATTTTGAGAGAGACAGAGACAGTGCGAGTGGGGAAGGAGCAGAGAGAGAGGATAAACAGAATCCCAAGCGGTCTCCATATTGCCAGTGCAGACCCTGATGTGGCGGCTCGAACCCACAAACCTGTGAGATCATGACCTGAGCTGAAACCAACAGTCAGGTGCTTAACTTACTGAGCCATCCAGGTGCCCCTTATATGGCCTCTTTTAAAGGCTTGTCCATAACTAGACTGACCCCATCATGTCTTTTTTTGCACTGATGCTCTGCGCAAGGAAGGAGAGCCCCTCACTATCTTAAACCATGTTCATTCTCATTGTCTCCTCTGAACCTTTCTTCACATGTGTTTATATTTACAGCGCCTTCCACCCACTCCTGTTGTCAGTCTGAACTTTTAAAATCTGTGCTTCCCGAAAGACCCCCTTTTGTCTTCATCTGTAGATAAAAGGAAATTTTACCTTTATCTATAACCCACAATCCCATTGTGTTTTTCTACAACGTGTTGGTAATTCCCTTCACCCCTAAAGCACACTTTTTAATCACATATTAATGAGAAAGTCTGTCCTTTTTAGCTGCATGCATACTAGGTGCTCAGCACATCTAGTTGACTTAATTCTAATTCATGATCGATAAAACAGGTATCTCAATCACGAAGCAACCAGGAAGAAAAAAGCCATCTATCTCATTTACTCTCAGTGGATTTGACCAATCCAGTATACAGGGAAGTCACTAGCTTCTTTTTCAGGCTCACAATGGTCTGCAACAGCCTTCTGAATGTTCTGCAGTAAGGAATAAAGGAATTAAGAATTCTAAAACTGTGGGTTTTCATCCTCTTAGAGTCAAGACTCTCTATTCATGCTTCAGTTTACTCTCAAGGGAGAGTTTTTTGCTCTCAAGGATGATTTTGGAAGGTAACTATAGTTTTAAACTTCAAGATCCAGCAGCCAAGCCTACTGGGGGCGGGACTTTTTTCTGATGTAAAATGTTTTGAAACCAGATAGAGGGGGTAGTTGTACAAGATAGTGAAAGTATTAAATGCCACTGAGGGGTGCCAGCGGTGGGCGGGGGGGGGGGGGGGGGGGGGGGGTGCTCAGATAGTTAAGGGTCAGACTTCATTTCAGGTAATGGTCTCATGGTACAGGTTTCAGCCCTGAGTCAGGCTCCATGCTGACAGCTTAAGAGCCTGGAGGCTGCTTCACATTTGGTGTCTCCCTCTCTCTCTCTCTCTGCACCACCACCCCCATGCTCGCTCAAGCTCTCTCTCTGTCTCTTTCTCAAAAATAAACATTAAAAAAATAAAAAAATAAATACAATTTAAAAAATTAAAAAAAACAAATGCAACTGATTGTACAGTTTAAAGTGGTTAATTTTATGTGAGTGGAGTATCATGTTAATTTAAACAAAAAGATCCAACAATCAAATATGTCTTCACCCCTATAACTGTCTCAGCTGGTGGCCAGCTGTCTCCTTACAACATCTGACTCAAAACTAAGGAGGAGAAGAAACACACATCTTTGGGTTTCTGACTTGTGTTTACAAAGAGGGTATATGCACCACACTTCTGTGGTTTACAAAAGTACCTTAGGCTTCTCTAAAATGACTCACTCTGGGGACAACATGGAGTTCATGTTTGGCTTAACACCAAAGGTAAATGTGAATTTCATTGTGACTTTCAGAACTATTAACATCAGCACAGCTGGTTTCAAACTTTGGGTTGTCATATATAATGAAAAAGCAAAAATAGAAACAAATTTACCTCAGAGCTCTGCCTCCTATCCATCACTGAGCTTAATGTGGTAGAGACAACACATGCCCACAAAGCATTAGCTGCCCATGACCATGAAGGTCCCTATCACAGAGGGCTTATCACTTAGAACAGCCACAAGTCAGCTTATGAACTGCATTACTGTCTTAAAAAATTTTTTCAATGTTTATTTTCGAGAGAGAGGGGGAGAGCCAGAGAGAAAGAGAGCGAGAGCGAGCAGGGGAGGGGCAGAGAGAGACAGAAGAGAGAATCTGAAGCTGGCTCCAGGCTGTGAGCTGTCAGCACAGAGCCCGACTCAGGGCTCAAACTCACAAATGGTGAGATCATGACCTGAGCCAAAGTGGAACGCTCATCCAACTGAGCCACCCAGGTTCCCCTGCATTAATGTGTTAAAATTAGATCCCCCATAAAATTTAGAGAAGGTAACAGGAAAGGCCCAGCACTCTACCCAAATTCAGTAGATTTAGACAAGTAAGTAGAGGAAAAATGTAGGTATTAGGTCAGCTCCTTAAAGAAACATTAATACTTTCAAGAGAATGTTGGGAAAGAAATAACAACTGAAGGGTTTCTATTAATTTTTAGAAAATATAAAAAGTATACTGGACTGCCTCACCCACATTCAGTGGAACTTAGAAATAGTAATTCTACAACACTTCTTGGAATTTTTAAAATACCATTCCAGAAGCAAAGAGCCAATTTAGACTTTGAGATACTGTTAGCTTTTCACGTGGGCAGCTCTGTCCCAGAATTTGTAGAACTGAGGTACAGATGGCAAAAGTAGGTCAGATGGAAAATTTTAGATTTGGGGTGATATGAAAAGCAATACATAATTCATACTTTCTTTGCCTCTCAGCAGAGCATTAATATGTTAAGTTCCCATGATGGGTAATAATCACGAAAGTAGCTACATCTCCTCGCTGCTACAATTGTTCACATGACCACTCCCAGCTGAGAAAGAGACAGAAATTCATGCGGCTGGCCTTAATTACAAGAAAAGTCACACATTCATTCTAATAGTTAATACTTACTTAGCATTAATGTGCAATTTCGTGTTTTCTCCATTAAATCCCTTGAAAAGACTAATTTTGCTCTACATTCAGTTTATGCACGTTTTCATCCCAACGCCCAAGAGGCAGGGTGGTGGTTGGGAGCTAATTTCTGTTTTCAATTAGGAACCCTGGAATGTCAGGACAGACCACCACGATCCTGTTTTCAGGCAGTTCCTGAATCCTGGGGGACCCAGTGAAAGGTCTTGGGGGCTGCGGTCAGTCACCTGGGACACTAGAATCATGCACCCCGAACAAAGGCCGAGATAACCCAAAAGTAGAGAGAATTAAACTATGTAAACCCTCTCCTGGAACACCTGCTCGTTCGCGATGGCCTGAGAGTGTGATACTGAAATTCACACTACAGTAGCCTTTGGGTAATTTAGGCTCAATTCCTTTTGAAGTTTTAGAGGAAACTATAATCAAATGGAGATCACTTGTCCTGCCCCTTCCGGCATAGTGAAGCATGGGGCTGGGGCGGAGGGGCAGCTGAGCAGACAGAACCCCAGGGGGCACACTGGTTCTACACAGGCAACTTTTTCAGCTGACAGTAAGGTGGCAGCAGTTGACAAGTCGATAACTGGAGTATCAGTTAAAGAGGACCATGGTGCTTGAAAGAAAATTGCATTGTAATAGTCACCTAAGTCCCTGGACTGTCCTCATGACTGGTTTAGTCCAGGTAAACAAAGACTGACCCTAACTCTATATTTGTACAGCACCTTCCCCAAACCAGACTGACTATGGATGACTTTGGGAGAGCAGAAAGCCCCACAGAAGGTAGTTTTACAAAAATAAGGCCTAAAGACGGGTGCTACACATTTTGATCTCTATCTTAAGAAGTTACAGAAGTGTCAAAAACCTGAAGCCACTATTTCTCAATACACTGTCTCCAGATAAAATATGCTCATTTTGGGGTTATATTGCAAGAACACCACATATATTCTTAATATATGTAAAAGAATGCAATTTTATCTTAGACTACATATATGAGCAACCAATATATTCCAAGGTTTTCCTGGATTCAAAGAAAAAAAAAAGTGCAGAGTTTCATGCCTAAAGCTAATAAATTTCCCAAGTCCTTGACAGATACACATATCACATCATGTTTTACAGCACTTAATTTACATCTAAAAACACCTTTGTTTTCCTCTGCCTTTTTAGAGGGTTAGTACATGCTCCTCCATTCTGGCGGGGGGCAAGGGGGAGGGCAGGTAGTATTTCCCCATATCACGGTGACTGAATATTTCAATGAACACCTCAGTACCCCTGGCTCTCAGTTATACTCGATTATGCATTAACAGTACACTTGATCATACTGCTAAAGAATTAACTGGATTTTAATATATGCATTTTCTTAGCATAGATTTAAAAACAATTTTTTAATGTTTATTTATTTTTGAGAGAGAGAGACAGCGTGAGGCGGGGAGGGGCAGAGAGAGAGGGAGACACAGAATCTGAAGCAGGCTCCAGGCTCTGAGCTCTCAGCACAGAGCCCAATGCGGGGTTTGAACTCACGAACTGTGAGATCATGACCTGAGCCAAAGTTGGAGACTTAACCAACTGAGCCATGCAGGTGCCCCTAGCGTGCATTTTAAATTGATATATTTTTAACATCTTTCTGAATTAGGTTAGTGGAATCATCTCTGTTTCTCACGTCAAGCCAAAGATTTGCCTGTTTGCGTAACATTTTAAAAAACGATTCAAGTCAGGTACAACCATAAGATTATGACTCTGAAGGCCTGTTCTTCAACTGCTTCTTTGCCCACTTAAGTCTGAGAGCTATTCTCTGAAGTGATCACGGAAAGGTGCTAGGCCCATACTGGCTAAGTTTCTTAAGACAACAGTAACCGGAGGAGGTAGATGAAAGTACATTTTATCCCCACAACAGTTCACAACAGCAACAGCACAACGTGGCAACTATTAGGAAAGGCACTTTGTGTGATAACAGTGAAGAAGCCCCGTCGGGCATGTGGCTTTCTTTGCCTCAATTCAAGGTCTGCATTTCCGTCTTTCCTTCCTGGATCCCTCCCTGAAGCAAAGTGGTGGAAACAACCACCATGTGGAATCTTGTTTACTCTGTAAGCACTGATCTAATGCAACACAAAAAAGTCAGTCTTCTCTCCCAAACACATGCTGAGCCAACCAGTCACCAGAGTGGCACTACCTAATCATGCGGGAAACCGAAGTCACCGCTACTTGTACCTGATGCTCCGCCATCTGGCTCTCTGGACCCCTGCCGTGCTCCAGACTCTCACTGAGTTTCATCTCGATGGCCTCCATTTTTGTGGAGATGGACTGGAGGGAGTCCTGGTACTTCTGCTGCCTTTCCAAAGCTTCATAGAGAGTGCGCTGCTTTTCACTGATCTAAAGAAGAAAAGGATATTACCAAATGTCTCCTAGCCTCTTATCTTCTAGGTTACTACACTTCTTTCCTCATGCGACATCCTGACGTCTGTGGCCCAACAGACGGTATCCGACTCTGTGCACGGAGTGTGTTAACTCTGGGCGTGGGTTTCGTAAGACAATCGCTCAGGTAATCCCGTGTGCGGTGGACGGAGTTAAACACTTCCACGTTTCGGAGACTTACCACATTCTTTAGGGTTTCCCAAGAACGCTGCAAATCATCCAGCTTAGCGGTAGTAGATGGCTCCAGTCCTAGTTCATAGAACTCCGGCGATGGCAACGTGCTGGGGTGGATCCTGGCAGCATCTGTCTGCAACCTCTCAGCAGATAAGGCCTGGTAATAAGCAATGTCCTGCGGTGCAAAGCCCGGTGTTGGGTTCAAGAAGAAGACAAATTTAGGTTAACATGCGCTGTATTGTTTGCCTTGTGGAGGAAGGGTTTGGGATTCACCTAAACTATAAACTATTATAGGGGCGATAACAGGAGCTATAAACTATCGAGGTTTGTGTAATTCTTGTGACGAGAAGACAAAGATTGTGTCAAAGCACACTACAGTTGCTTCTGAATTTTGGCTTCTATAAAAAAAACAACAAAACAAATATTTCAAGTTGCCAAACTCATTCTTAGTTTATATTTGGTAAAACAGAAATACAAAAGATTAGAGTGGTGCACATATTCAAAAGACGAACTAATAAGGCAAAAAAAGAGAATCTTAATTATCTCCTAAACTGTTGTTTTTTAATGTATTGATTAAAGTGCTGCATGCTTTTAAAAGGTACTTGATTTAAATAATATTAAGTCATTTTTGAGGCACAGCCAGATCTTCCATATCTGTCAGTTCATCACTCACAGGAATTAACTTCTTGTAGTATTAAATAAAGGAAAATGTAATCGGGAAGTTAAAACTACTCTAAGAAAGAAATAATAAAAATGATTCCTTCTCATCACTTCCTGGAAGTACACTGGAAATAATCAAAGTGAATGATGAAAAACAAACCTTTTGAAATTTTTATTATTTCTTGGGTTATAAGTACCATTACATATTTTATAGTATTAATAACGGACTCTCCTACATCAAGACATATAATCATGTGTTTTCAATTGTTTCTATGCATATTTATGTGTATTAATAGAAATTGAATTGGGGAGTAATGTTTATATTCTGGGAATTTCTATTACAAAGTTCACTACTTTTGGGGCACCTGGGTGGCTCATTTGGTTAAACCTCCGACTCTTGATTTCAGCTCAGGTCCTGATCTCACTGTTTGTGAGACTGAGCCCCGCACTGGGCTCTGCACTGGGAGTGTGGAGTCTGCTTGGGATTCTCTCTCCCTCGCTCTCTGCCCCTCCCCCATTTGTGTGCACGTGTGTGCATATGCCCATGCACTCTCTCACTCTCTCTCTCTCTCTCTGTCTCTCTCTGGCACTTGATGGGATGAGCGCTGGGTGTTACATGTAAGTGATGAATCACTAAATTCTGCTCCTGAAATCACTATTATACTCTATGTTAACTAACTTGGATTTAAATAAAATTTTAAAAATAAAAAATTAAATAAACAAACATTAAAAAAAGTTCACTACTTTTGCAGTTGTACTGTTGGAAATAATAATGTATCTGAATGGAAAATACCTGAGCCTTATCGATAAGGTAAGGTCTTATGGATAAGGTCTTGGTAAAAAGTCTTCAAGAAGGACCCAGACACTGGAGAAACCAAAATAAGAACAGGAAAGGGCTGGTGTTTGGGGGTGTCTATGAGGACAGAAGCAGGATTGTGCGGTAAAAGGGGTTCAGACAGGAGTCTGACACCGGAGGAGTCAGAGCTGAGATTCCAGTTGAAATTCTCCTAAGTAGCTGTATAACGAGAAAGTCACTCACATCTCAGGCATCCGTTCCCTCATGTGTGTAACACTGGGGAGTTCTGAGGATTAAAGGAAGTCGTATTTGAGTGGCCATGAGACCTGGTACTTATTTTGTTGTTGACACTTCTAGGTAAGTCCCCAACCTTTACTGAAGACACTGGAACATGGAGACTGGTTCCTCCTTGTTCCTGCTCCTTCACCATCCTGGGTAGATTACTTTGCTCTTCTCAAGTCTTTGCTAAGCTCTATCCATTCACCCTCACCTACTTTCACTCCGCTTCAGTCCTCCACACCCTTGAACATGATAGCCTGTCATCACTGAATAGGCTCACCCCATGTGCACTTCTAGCTATGTCTAAAGTTACTTAAACTCTCCTCTTGCCAACACTGCTGCCTTCTTTGCCCCTTTAAACTCTGCGTTACTCACCTGGAAAATCCCAGGCAGGACTCAATCCAACTTTACTTTCCAGAGCGCATGGGTGTACATGCTCATGAGCATATACACACCCCCCCCCACACACACACACACAAACACACAGCTGAAGCCATCGAGGAGATATCCCTGAAACTCCTCAAATTTCCAAAAATCTGTCTACACTCAGACTCCCCTTTATCTTATACTTGCCAGTTTCCCGGCTGAACGATAACCCTCCCACCTACTCCCAGAATCCCATCCACTTTCACTCTTTCAAGGACCTTGGTGCATTACTATCCTCTCTATCTCTACTGATTTTCTCCTCAGCATATAAATAGAGGCAAATCTTTTCAGTCTAAAAACACATACTCTTTTTCGGTATTTTTCTTACAGGATGTCACATGTTAGAAAAGTCCACAAATCACAAAGTGATGGGTCATCACACACAAACACATAGTTGTGATTGCCGTTTCTTCCTTTTCTCCCGTTCACATGATAATCCAGCTTCTGAAAATGGTAGTTTGCACTTGATAATGTTCACTTTCTCACCCCCCAATCCACTTCTAAATACCCAGCTGTGCTTTGACCCTAATGATTCTTTTCTGTAAAATAAAATGATTATTTTCAGCCCTTCTTCTGCCTGACCTCTCGATAGCATTCCACACCTCTGACTGTCCCTTTTTGGAAACACTGTCCCTGTAATCTGTTCTCCTCCAAGCTCCAGTCATTCAAGCTTTCACTTGTGTATTTCCCTCAGTTATTTATAAGCTCTGCACTCACATCTTCATTTTTACATTCCAAACTCAACATTTCCAAAAACAAAAACAGACAAATAAAACAAAACAAAACAAAAACATCCAGGATGAGAAATAACAAATTTACAAAAAAAAAAAAAAAAAAAAAATCATGTTCTATCCATCTTTCAATAAATGGAACTTCTAGGCAGAAGCTCTGATCGTGGGATTTATTCTCTATCTCTTCTCTCCCTTCCCATCCACAGGTTATTTAGGATGAATTCTATTGACACATACCCTTGCCCCAGCACTGCTTCAAGTTCTCATTAGAACAACAACTGTCCAATTCCCAGGTTGCAAACTCGTAGCCTGCAGGCTGCCTCCGGCTTGCACACATTTAGTTCGGTTTATGCAGTGTATGATACTGCTGAAAATGTCATCGAAGTAGAGAGGTTTAATAAGAATCCAGATTCATACCTCCTTTTGCAAACCAGAAGGTACATAAGACTGGACTCTGTGTCCACAGGACTATGGTAGTTCTAACAGAGGACAGGCTGCCTGGTTTATGAACAGAGGTGCTGTTCGGGTCCTTTTCATTCCCCAGCCGTTGACATCACAGCCCTGGCGAGGCATCAGAATGTGCAACTTCTGTCTCTCACTAGCTTCTCTGGGTCTGAATCTGTCCATCTTTATTCTACTGTCCACACTGACCCAGGATGATCTGTTCTCAGACTTACTTCTGTACATGGCTTCTAGTTAAATTCCCTCTGTGGTTAACTATTAGCTTCTGGATAAAGTTCAATGTGTGTGTGTGTGTGTGTGTGTGTGTGTGTGTGTGTGTTCCTTCATGATGTGTTTCCTTCAGCCCTCTCAGTTTCTTTTCTCCCCTTCTCCCTCCTCCTCCGAAACTGGTTTTCTAATTATACTGACCCTATTTGCAGTTGTCTTGATGGGCCATCCTCCTTCCTGCCACCACACCTTTCCATATGTCTTTCCTTCTTGCCTGAAAAACGTCACCTCACTCTAGTGCACACCAACTGCTTAACTTGCACTCCTTACCTAAAGCTACAGGGTGCCCCCTCTGACCCATCCTGAACTCCAGGTTCAGGGGCGCACTCCAAATCTGCCCTCACCATGCAGTGTTTCTCCCCATCCTGGCCATTGTCCCATTCTATTGTGATTACTCACTCCAACTGTGAGCTCAGTTAAGACCGGAGAAGTGCCTTTTGTCTCTGACTCTGAGCAGGTCTTAGGATGTTTGGCAAATAACAGGCAGGCATATATATCTATAATGCATCATACATATAAAAGCACTTCTGTAAACTTTATATACACAGAAGGTACTTTTTTTTTTTTGAGTGGGCAGGGGCAGAGGGAGAGAGAGGAGGGAGAGTGAGAGAGAATCATAAGCAGACTTCACACCCAGCAAGGAGCCCAGGAGCCCAACATGGACCCTGATGCTGGACTGGATCTCATGACTATGAGATCATGACCTGAGCCAAAATCAGGAGTCAGATATTCAAATGACTGAGCCACTCAAGCACCTCAAGAAAGGTAATAGTATTACTGGGTCCACAAGGAAAAGCAAAAAGTTGTTTTAAATGTACAATTTTTAAATTAAATACTCCTTTATAAATAAGGAAGCCCCCCAAAAGAGCCAGAATAAAATACATTTGTTACAAAAAAATATTTTTTTCTGGTTCTTTTGTAGGTGAGAGAGAGAGGGAGAGAGAGAGAGAGAGAGAGAGAGACTGTGTGTGTGTGTGTGTGTGTGTGTGTGTGTGTGTGTGCGCGCGCGCGCGCGCGAGTGTGGTATGTATGTGTATTGCTCAGGCCTATTACACAGGAATGAGAATTCCCGGTTTCTTAAAAGCACCTGAAAAAGTATCGCCTTTTGTAGATGAATAGTTTGAGGACTACATATATTCAAATATTGAATTGAATATTTGAGGGCCACATATATTCAATAAAATAAAACAATCCTCTAATTACAAAATGGAGGCCTTAACTGGCATAGCAAAGAATCATCCTCAGAAAGACGTTTCTTATTGCTTTGTACTTAAGATATGAGAGTTATTATCCAGTGGATTCCTAACAAAATGAATTTGGAAAGCTACAGTTCCTATTTCATTTACATTGTCCAGGTTAAAGAGTATTTTCATGCTTCACATCACATTTAATTTTTAAAAGTTTGTGAATTAAGTAGCATTGCTCGCTGTTACAAATGAGGCCGCTAAAGGACGTTGCAGGTACAGTCAGCTTACAGGCAGAAGGGACGGGACTCATGCTGAGCTTCTAACCTGGAGCCTGGTGCTCTACCAGGTACAAACCTTGGCTTCTGTCAACTCTGCCAAGGAGCTCGCCTCTTGCTTTGCTTCTAATAGCATCAAGAAGCCTGCAGCAAATCCTGGGGTTGCCTGGTTATTTCCACTCTCCAGGAAGCTACACTGTTACCACATTGAGCTAATAGCTACTGTCAGAGAGACAGAACCCACTGACTGCGGAGGGGTGGGGGGGTGGACCGGGTTGGGGGGAATCGCTCCGTTATACAATGGAGATCTACTTACAGAAGCAGCGAGCACAAAACCTTCCTTTAACAGCTGCAATTTTATACAGCAGTTATATTTGGCTGCCCCCTAAAACAGCTGCACACATTCTATACAGTATGTTGAGTCTGAAAAGTGCAATTTATGAGGATTCTAAATGTCCTCCTCAACTACAAGAGAAAATTTTGCAAATCCAGCACATCCCCGGCCAGGTTGTAGTGTTTGTTCATTTTCCTCTGACTTATATTATTGTACAAGAATAACACGTGGCCTTAATGAAGGGGCTGATCTGCTTGAACACCAAGCATAGCACATTTGCTTTTTAAGGGCCTCCTCTGAGTAAGGGCATTTTTTTGGTTAATCTTCAGTATCACGTATAAGTACGTTCACAATGTGATTTAATTGATGCTTTCCCTTGATGGTGGAGGGGTGTCAAAATCTATTTAAAACAAAGAAAGATCTCACTCATAATTTTAGGATTTGACTGAGTTTGACAGCTGAAGTAACCATAATATGAAAACATTTGTGTATTTTATCATTCACGAGGCATTTTTATATGTACATTGAGAGACACTTTACAAGAAGTATCATGGAGGCTTACCATCTTAGACCAGGGATATTCTCCCCACAGTGTTAATCTTAAGGCCTCGGTTTATTGTTCCATTTGAAAAATTTAAGAACATTAAGTTTATTATATAGGATAGTGTTTTCCTATATAATAGCTGACTATAGCCAAGTTTCTCTGATTCTAATAACATCTGTGACCACAGGGAAGAACACAGCATCAAAGAATGAGTAATACATATTTTAAACTCAGAATCTGAAGAAAAGTTTCCCCCAGGGTACACTGAACTTCTCTTTTTTTTTGTTTTGTTTTGTTTTGTTTTTAGTCTCTTCTCATCACTTTTGTTATTAGTCATCCCACATCCACCTTTCTAAATTATGAGGTCCTTGATGGCAGGGGCCACTGTTGTCTTCTCCTTTATTACCTGTCTGGAACCCAGAAAACATTTCATGCCAGGCAGGTACTCAAAATGTGTCTGATGAATGAATAAATTCATAACTTCCTAGAGCTACATACAGTTTGCCAAGAGAATTGTTTTACCTAAAACATTCATCAATTTTATATTCCTGTTTTAGGGGAAGAAGGTTTTTTTGTGTTTTTTTTTAATCACAGAAATACTATTTTGAATGCTCTGTTTTAAAATAAAAATAATTGTAACTGATTTGTAACATAGCTTATAGAACATTTGTTCTGTTTAACGCTTCTTCCTTAATAATAAATTTCCACTTCTTTGAACACTTACATAATTTCACAGTAATATCATTAAACTTTTTTAAAGACTATTTTGGCTAGGGGCGCCTGGGTGGCTCGGCAGGTTAAAGGTCAGACTTCAGCTCAGGTCACGATCACATGGCTTGTGGTTCGAGCCCCACATCAAGCTGCTGCTGCCAGCACAGAGCCCACTTCAGAGCCTCTGTTTCCCCCCCTCCACCCCTCCATTGCTTGTGCTCTCTCTCTCTCTCAAAAATAATAAATAAAAATAAAAATAAAAAAACTAAACTATTTTGGTTAAAGGAAAAAAAAAGAAACTAGTACTTAACATGCATTAAAAAATCTTTGGCTATTGTAAACGCATATTTTTTATTTCTATATAATATTTTTGATGAAAACTCTTTAACATATTTAACTTAGCACAATCTGAATCTAACATAATGTACGCTAAAAAGCACCACATAACAAGGTATCATCTCCACTTTATAGGAAACAAAATTTAACGTTATTGAAAAATAGATAAAAAACACAAGTCTACTTAGACATTCCAATATATACACCGGGCCATCCCCCTTAAATTGGTTGACAGTAAATAAAGAAAGAGTAGAAGGTTTTCATCTTTAAAATCTGAGCTTATCAGTGTCAAAACCACTTTTGATGAATGTTACAATACAAAGAGATCATGTTATTTTACAATGGTGACATAAACATTTCTTTCTCTGTTCGGATGCAGTACTCCTATTAGATAGCTGTTAGAACTCAAGCCATAATGCCTTATAACATGGCCTTCTCCAGCTATAATTTCTGTGACCTAATTTTTGCTCATGTCACTGGTAGAAGCCCAGAAGAGGAGCCAGTGTGCTGAGCCCGTAGTGGTTATCACATGACAATCACAGTTTGTGATTTCACACCTAATGGTGTGTCCCTCAAGTCTAAGATTCATACCCACAGTCTATTAAGAACAGGAATGGAGTCCTGCATCCATCCAGAGATCCTAGCTAGAGGAATGCCAAATCGTGGTACCTGGTTAACAGAAGCGTCTGTATTAGCCACAGGTGAAGGGGAGCGACAGGCAGGTGGAGAGGAAATTTCACTGTTGGTTCCCTCCTCCCCAGACTCCTCTGTGACAGGTGACAGCAAAGTGTGACAGCGACCCGCAGTCATCTATCACATAAGACGTAGCCCAAAGGACACGAACAGAACATCAGTTAGCTATGTTAACAAAAGACCTAGTCAGGCACAGGTCAAAACAAAGGTAAGGATATTCCAAGAGTTAGAAATACTGACACCGGAATCTATATACGAATTCTGTGTTAGTACTTAAAAATTTTGTCTTCAAGTTAGGACTTTAAGTTAAGACTTTAGGGACCATTTGTAAAACAAACAGGGAAAGAGGGTGCCTATCACATTAAAGACTTTTGTTGTTGATTCAGTGTTTTCCTTTCCTTGATGTTTGTTTGTGTCTTTATAAATAAGTAGTAGAATCGTGGATCATACAAGGGAGAGAAGGGTCTACAAAATAAAACTTGAGTCTTTTGTGGACATCTCGGATTCCAAATATCCTAGGGACATAACTGTACCCAAAGTAATATTTTGCCAAAAGAGTCCAGGTACACACACTATCTGAGGCATAGCACATATGTGTGGAAAATATGCAGCACTGGAAAACCGTGTCATTCCCAAAACAACTAATGCATTTTTAGATACAAAGTGATAAGGAAATAATGTTGCAGAACAGCAATTAATGGAACCTACTTATTTTAATCCAAAGCTACACTTTGGATTTTCTATTTTCTTATTTTTCTAATAACAGCTTTTCTTCTATATTTTATTAAACATTTGTATAACAGAATACACAAACATATCTAGCTGGCCAGTGTTTTAGCTTGGAAAACATACACAAAAAAATTTGTGTAGCGTGATTCTCCTATCTCCCAGAAATCTACAAAACTGTGCAAAGGAATTTTTTTTTTTTTTTTGAAGCGCAGAGCCTTTCAGTGTGATTGCTGAATTATAAACAAATGCAGGGCCAACCTTACGCATATTAAATAATTCAGCCGCCTCAAGCCAACAGCTTCATTTTAACTGTCCCTGTTTAGGGTATAGGCATCAAAAACTGGCCTTGGCCCAAATGTAGTCAGAGAGTTGAGACTGTTCCTCATTCTGATCTGCAAGACCTAGCACCGATCCCTAAGTTCAGCCACGGAGAGGGAACCTAGAACCGCTAGCCAGGGGGGGCAGTCAGAAGGGAGCGCAGCGCGCTGGCTCCCATCAAACCCGGCCTTGACCCTTACTTACCATGACCACAGAGGGGTGGGCCGAGGTCGCGGGGAGGAGCTCCCGGTCCAGGTCCTCCGTCCCCTCCACCAGCCCCTCCACCTCCGTCACCGTCAGCAGCATGGTGGCATGCTTGGCTTTCATCGTCAGCATCTTGCACTTGGAGTTCAAAGAGGCGATCTGCTCCTGGTAGCCCTTGATTTTCTGAGCCAGCTCCTGGGGAAACATTTCCCCCCCGCCCCACCGTGTGTCAGAGCAGCATCAAAAGGAAACAGAACTAGTGGCGTTCATCTTGCTCCAGCGCTGGCCAATGAAATCACAGAGCTGCGGCAGCCGGCGGCAGGGCCGCGGCGGAGAGGCAGGATGTGGACGTGCGAGCGCAGGGGGCTGCCGGCAGCGCACCCGCAGCCCGACCGACCGCGGCGCGGCGGGGCCGGAAGAGCGGCTGCGCGCGGGCCGGGAAGGAGTGCCCCGCGGCCCGGCTCCTAAGCCCGGGAGAGGCTCCGGGTGCAAGCCGGAACTTATGTAACCTTAAGAACTGGCAACTTTCTTTAAAATGCCTAAACAATCTGAAACTGCCAGATGGTTCATGCCGCGGAAATTAGGTCATGTGATGACTAAAACTACAAAAAATGCAATGCTCAGCTCTGACCATACTGTGTATCAGATAGAGCAGTCATCTGTTACAGACGGTGTCACAAAAGTAAACTGCATGTCAATTCCTGTGGCCCATGGAGTCTTTTTTCGTAGAGCAGCTAAATAGCGCACAGGAGACCCTAATTATTTATGCAGATTATTCCCCAAATAAAGTTTTGTACATTCATCACATTTTCCCCTCGCGCCTTACGTGTTTCTAATGTTTCAAATTAGAGCTTTGAACTTGAAGCTCAGTTCAAATTTAAGTTCATTTGTGGTTGAAAAAATTGCAAAAATTGTTTAATTTTAAAAATTAAAAATCGTCTTAAAGATCTAAAATACTAAATAAAGAATAATAATCTAAAATGGTGATTCTAAAATGTTAAGTTTATACTTTCTTATTTAAAAGATGCATATGTGTTCATCAAAAATAAAGATGTATATTCCAAAACCTTAATCCTAAAGTACCAAACTATTCCATTTTTTCTATTCCTTTTATTTGGCTCCTTTGCCTGAAAAGTTGTCATTGAGTGTTTGTACATAACGCATTTTGCAACAAAAACATTAAATGTCAATTTCTTTGAAACAAGAGTGTGTATATACCTATATACATACATGCACATATACATACTATGCATGTATATGTATGTATACAAATACTATCATCTTAAACACACTGACATTCAAACTAGAGCTTTGAACTTGGAAGTTCAGAAACAAAATGACAACAGGGGCACCTGGGTGGCTCAGTTGGTTAAGGGTCCAACTCTTGGTCTTGGCTCTGGTCATGATGTCATGGTGGGGGGATTGAGCCCTGTGTAGGACTCCACACTGTGCAGACACACATATATATCATTTTGTTACTGTCATTTTGTTTCTCCCGTCCAAGCCAAAACTGAGTAAGTGGAAGGGAAAATGATACAGCGGAACTCAGCCAGTAGCCCGTCTTCTTGACTTCTACTACAGCACAAGAATATTTAAAGGAAGGGCTTTTATTTATTTTTTAAGTTTATTTAGAGAGAGAGGGAGGAGGGGAAAAGAGAGAGGGAGAGAGAGAATCCCAAGCAGCCTCCATGCTTTCAGCCCAGAGCCCTACATGGGGCTCGATCCCCATGAACCATGAGATCTTGACCTGAGCCAAAATCAAGACTTGGACCCTTAACCAACTGAGCCACCCAGATGCCCTTAAAGTAAGAATTTAGAAAGTAGAAATGATCACTTTTTACCTTTTAGAGTTGCAGGTACTTAATTAAACCTAAGAGGGCTTTTTTAAAATAGTGATTAAACAGCTATTTACTACATCTGGCCTAGTGCCTAATTTGTGGTTACTCTATTATAATTAGTTAACATGCACATATAGAAGGCATCTACCAGCTTAATGGACTCCTTGAACTCCATGTTTTCATAGGAAAAATCACTAAACCTTCTTATGATGGCTTGCCCCACTGGGGTAGATTTGAAGAATCTTTGCGAAGTAGAGTTAGTTTCAGTCCTTCACCTTTTCTGCCTACATGGAAGGTCATGGCCCCCTACTGCTGTACCCTGCAGAGGCGTGCCCATGCTGGCAGCAAACATCCATCTCCTAAACTGCAGTTGTAACTTTCTTGTGTATAAAACTTAATTGGGTTGTTTTTTAACCATCCAATTCTGGTCTTCACTTCAAAAGATTTTGATTAGGAGGCATTTTGTAGTTATCTCATATGACCCCCTTGGAGAAATAGCTCTTTAGACTTTCTTCTGTAATAATAAAACCTGTCTAAATCGTAACAACTAGTGGGTGGTTAAATCTACTAAATTAAAATGGAGCCCTAATGGGTTCATGTGTTCACTATTCTCAGGAGGCATATGTATTTTTAACTTTTACTGGATATTTCTGAAAATGATTACCAAGGATGAACATAAATAGATGGGAATATCAGGTAAAGTGGCTGTTCTGAGGAAAGCTGCCTTCTGTGACCAGTGTCCCGCCCTCAGGAGAAGGCCTTGTATATAAGGTAAAAAAAAAAAAAAAAGAGGCTTGAGTATTCTCTCCTATGATTTAAAAGTGGCAGGATAATTTTCTCAAATCAAATGCAGCATTTAAAAAGTTACAGAAAAAGGGTGTCTGGGTGGCTCAGTTGGTTAAGCATCCAACTTAGCGCAGGTCACGATCTCACAGCTCATGAGTTCAAGCCCCGCATTGGGCTCTGTGCTGACAGCTCAGAGCCTGGAGCCTGCTTCCGGTTCTGTGTCTCCCTTTCTCTCTACTCCTCCCCAGCTCATGCATTCTCTCTCTCTCTCTCTCTCTCTCTCTCTCTCTCTCTAAAATAAACATTAAAAAATTTTTAATGTGAATTCTTTAGAAGTGAATATATTATCAAGTAATTTTATGAATTACAGCTAGTCTTCTAGATACTAGATTCACCTCAAAATTGAAATTCCATTAAAAGGAGATTGAAAAAAAAGGAAAAAGCTGGGGCGCCTGGGCAGCTCAGTCAGTTAAGCATCTGACTTCGGCTCGTCACGATCTTTCAGTCTGTGAGTTCGAGCCCCACATCGGGCTCTGTGCTGACAGCTCAGAGCCTGGAGCCTGCTTTGGATTCTGTGTCTTCCTCTCTCTCTCTCTGCCCCTCCCTGCTCGTGCTCTGTCTCTCTTACTCTCAAAAATAAATAAAACATAAAAAAAAAAAGAAAATACAGGAAAAAGCAGGCTTCCAAATTTTTACGTTATCATAAATCAGGCTTTCTCCACTCAGCACTTTCCTTCCTGTGTTTGTTTTATACACACAATGAGACTCTCACATGACTATGCCATTATTTATGATAATGTATTCTAAGTCACATGACAAAACTTGCAAATGTCTACATTCATTTTTAGAATTGGAAAGAGAAAATGTGACAAAATGAACAGATCACTGAACAGGAGCCTGGAGGATGGTCTTCAGCTGAATGTACTGAGAGCCAAATATGTGACCTTGGACAAGTCATGTATCTTCCTGGGCCATTATTCTTCTCTTCTGTGCAATAACATAGTCCAAATAGTTTCTGCTGCACTGGAAAAACTATGGAATTTGGAGGCACAGATTTGGGAGCCTTGGAAGTTACTTAAAAATATCAGTTTTGGGGCACCTGAGTGGCTCAGCCAGTTAAGTGTCTGACTTCCACTCAGGTCATGATCTCACAGCCTGTGAGTTCGAGCCCCGCATCAGGCTCTCTGCTGACAGCTCAGAGTCTGGAGTCTGCTTCGGATTCTGTGTCTCCCTGTCTCTCTGCCCCTCTCCCCACGCTCACTCTGTCTCTCTCTCTCTCAAAAATAAATAAACATTAAAAAAGAATTTTTAATAAAAGTTTCTGTTTTCTTATCAGTAAAATGGAGATGATTAAAAAAAAATCCTTACCTCACAGAGTTGTTATAAAAGATAATGTAACAACTTTGTAAATTGTTTTTAAAAAAGCCCTCCCCCAAAAAACACTATAGTAATGATAATAATGTTCTTTCAGATAAGATTTTAAAAATATATACTTTCTGTACTATGATAGAAAAGCTGTTACAAAAAATTCTGGATTGTATAAAATGAGATTAAAAATAGTATCAAAATTAATTTATAATATATAGTCTAATGTATGAATTATATAAACAGTGGTCTCAAATATTTGGGTAACATATTTTCATGTAACCAACGGCATAAGAAATCAATAGTTAACGTAGATGTTATCTATAGTGTAGAAGTAAATGTAGGTGTGATATTTATTTACATTATTTTGTAAATCACATATACGTGTAAGTTACTGATGCACTTGACATGTCAAAAAATTAAAGAACTGCATTTGGAGACTGGGATATTTTATTCTTCAAAGGCAACAATTGAATCTTCTGAGAAACTCACTATGATACTTAGTTTGGAAAAAAATAGTTTGTTGCTCTTATGACAACAAAGTTAAAATAGAGCCCATAGAGAATAAACTAAATATCTACCCTTGGCACAGAGAAATTAAGATACTCTCATCCCATTGCTTCCCCTGATTCATGATGCTATGAGCCAGTCCCCAAGGGAAAGAGGAAATAACTCATATAGGAATTGACAGGTCAGAGAAGGACATTCACTGCTAAGAATCAATGGGCCCAAACAGTCAAGGTCTCTGATCTCTGAGACCAAGTCTGTACAAGGGGTGTCCAAGTCCTCAGGTCATAATGAAGTCATAAATACAAGAAAGAAGGCTTTTTTGAAAATGGGGAAGATGCTAACAGTCACAATCCGGGAATCAGCAAAAAAAAAAAAAAAAAAAAAAAAAAAAAAAAAAAAAAAAAAGACTACACTCTGATTTTGGTGGTAGGAACTGAAATAACCTACATTTGAAAGTGCAAATGATTTTGATTTTAATATGAAATACCTCTTCTGTTTAAAGAGGGTGATCAAAGCAGCAAAGTCTTAGGAACTACTGTTTCTAACAGGTCTTATAAGACAGAGTGGACTGTGTTTGGTGTATTAACCGTGAGAATTTTGGGTGCAGGAGACGGTGGATCCCAGGTGAGATATGTCATCAGTAACATGTAAAGAATTTTGGCATCAAGGGGCAGACTCATGCTCCTGGGTCTTGGAAACGATCCACAAAAACAGCCCTCAAGATGCAAAGACCGTCAAAGGGGCTACCTGAGAACGAAGCACACTGTGTGCGGGCCAGGGAAAACTTTTCTCTCTGATTCACTAGAAACCAATCACATTTTCTCACCAAGCCAGTGTCTTGCCTGCCTTCCTGTCTCACCTCATGCCGAGAAATCTGGGCTTGCAGCTCCTGGATGTTGCTGGTGGCCGTGGGTGTGTCCTCAATCTCTCTGTGAGCTCCTTCTATAAGCTCCTGGAGGTGCTGCATTTCTTGCTCATATTGTTCATATTGTACCACGGCCTCCTTTGAAAGAAAAAAAGACGCACGGTTATCTTTCTAGATCAATCACTGTGGGCCATTCTGTACTGCTGTCTATGGCGTTAGGTGGTATTTACCTGGGCATCTAGGGAATAAAGAAAGGATGGGTCAAGTCCCTGGATGATGAGAGTCCTCAACTTTATGCAGATTTTTCAAAGCCTTGTCTCTAAAATAGTTCGCCAGGATTATGGATGGACTCAAAGCAGCTAAGTGGCTAGATCCTCTCTCTTTTCCCTATTCAAATTATGCTGAAAATGGCAATGTCATAGTCAGAACAACATCAGGGTGGGAAGCGGTATGAAAAACGTGATTACTTCATTTTTCCACCTAAGAAATACTAAATCTATATGTGAGGCACTTGACTAAATGCTGGGGTGGGAGATTAAAAAATGAAGGAAGCAGGACTTCTAGCCTCAGGAATTTACTATGTAACAAATTACAAGATAATCCAAGGTGCAAGAATAGTTGACCAAGTAAACCCTTAGCTATTTAATGAGAACCTACGTAGGCAACTTTTGGATAAGGCAGGTGAAATATTAGTTGAAAGGGCATAGGAGGTGGGTAGCATCATTCCTTCCTTGTAAATGACTCTTCTCTTATTGGCTGAAGAGGCTGAGAGTTACACGGGGGTTTGCTTTTCAGGCAAGAAAATGCCTTTACTGCATCAATAAGCTGAAATATGAAAAAAAAAATCTGCAATCTATACTAGCAGTAAAGGCTTTTTACAAGGTGTTAGAGGATTCTCCGATGAATAATAAGAGATAAAAATATATAACTGAATATAAAATTAACTTGTATAAGTCATTCTTTACTAAAATATACTGCTACAAGATAGCTGTCACCAAAGGATGTTTTTTTATAGAGCTTTCCCCGGGCTCTTGCGGGTGATCCAAATGATAGCATTTCATCTCCTTATTTTATATAACCACAACAATCTGTCAAATTTAACACTCTGGGTGTGTTTTGATGGCTGAGCCCACACAACGCCAAGAAAAGCAGCCCATGACTCATTCGCTGTGGCTCTGTGGGCGCGGGGACTGCGAGGGACGCTGGCGGGCACAGCCCCACGTGCCTGCATGATGTTGCACTGCTGGATAGCCGTGTGCTGCAATCGGCTGGCCTCTGCCTGCAGGTGCAAGGCACAATGGCAGAGCGGCAGGCTGGCGACCACATCGTCGGGGATCCGGAGGGCACTCTGGCAGATCTGCACGGCGTGGACCTTTGGCTTGAGTGACTCCATCTCAGATAGCAGATGCTGAAAGTACGGGTTCACATTTTATATGGCGCAAAAAATTTAAAATGTTTCTATCTGAATAGCTTCTTTCATAAGCAAGAGACATTTACTAAATTATAGCTCTGGCATACGTTATAAACATTTTCCGAGGAGATTTTCTTTAAGTAACGTGTAGAGCCCTAAGACTATAGCTGAGTTTAGAAGTCATTTTTCCCTCACTATCTTCTCTTTAAAAATAGGTAGATAGATGATAGATAGATAGATAGATTCCCCACTTACTTCCTCTGGATTATTCTTGCTTACCTGTCGATGTGAAAGTTGTTCCTTGAGACTAAGACGTCCAACTTCTGGGGAAGTCAGGGTTGTCTGGGCTTGCTCCAAAGCAACTTGTAAGTTTTTTAGCTCAGTTTCAAATTTTTTCATATCCTACAGAGTAAAAGCAATATGAATGTCAATACAGAAGCCCTGGAAGTTCAAAGTCACGGGAGAAGAATAACCTCACAGTCAAGAAGGCATATCAGAGGCGAGTACTATATCTCCACTATGGACCCACCATTTTTTTAAAATGATAGACTTCCTAATTTAAGCTATTGTTATTATTAGTTTCACCTTGGCAGCATCTTGGAGATTCTGCAAACGAATTTTGATCGTCTGTCGTAGCTCCTCAGACTCCCGTCCCAGGTCTGCCACTTGCTGAGACATTTTTTCTGTGGAGTAGATGCTAGCAAGGCACTGTAATTTCTCAATCATTGCTTCCAGATTGCTGGGGATTTCTTCAGATTCTTCCAGCATGGTCTAGAGGGAATTGCCAATAGTCATGACATTGACAGGGAGGCAGAGGCGTACAGGTAACCAATCTGGTGTGGTGTAAGCCAGGAGACTAGGAGGGAGTGCCAGGTCTCAGTGCCCATGCACACCGTATAGGTTCCATGTGTCTTCTTGTATCTAACCTTCCCAGCCCTGTGCCTACTCCCCACCTACGCTTCTCCTCATTTCACAGAAAAAGAAATCAAAGTTTAGGAACTGCCAACCATTTACTGAGGCCACATGTTGTTAAGTGTTGGACAGGCTCGTGCTCTGTCAACCACCCCAAGCTGCTCCCTGATGAGGGTCAGGACACGAGTATCTCAGGGATATCTGTGCTCTGACACATTAGGCCTTCTTGTCAGGATGTTGAGCTTACTTTTCCTCCTATTTACTCAAGAGATGCTTTCTAGCTCTCATATTCTATGTCTAAGATCTGAGACACTTATCGATCGAAGAAATGAAAACACAAGAGCATTACAAACAAACAAAGAAAACTTTTGAACAGTTGCTTTAAATGAAACAAAGAGGGTAGAAGCTACTTGAGATTAGCAAGAGGAATAAAACACAGCCCTGGTCATTCTGGATAGTATCCTCTGGTGGGACTAATAATACACATGGATTGTTAACCACATAATGTGCATTATATGAGCAGAGTGAAAGAGAAGAAAGACTAGAGATGACGGAATATTACTTGCAGGAGGACTGTGAGGCGGAACAGCATAAGCAAAGGCACAGAGGTGAGTGAGCACAAAATGTTCAGTTCCCGGGATGTGTGATGTGTAAAGAAGAGAAATGGAAGCTGGGATATTATCCTTGAGCAACAGATCTTTAATTTCAAAATACAGTACAGTTTTTCCCTCACAAGGAAAGGAAATACTGAAAATGTAAAGAAGAAAATCAAATATTCCACAATATGGCAGAGGTAACTTTAAGAGATAACTGCTGTTACATTTGGGTATATATTTAGATAATTGAGATCATAATATACTATAATTTTCCATCTTTCTTTTCCACCTGACACTAGGAACACCTGTATTCTCTCTGTTTACTGCTTTTGGCTAACCTTTGGGAGCTTTACCTAAGGCGGGCACGGGAGAACTCTCACAAGACTATCTACAGACTGAGTTCTCTCCTGAGCGTCTGTGGGATGTGTGGTGTCTGTCCTGTGTCCCCAATGCACTCAATCTGCCCAACTGCCCAAGTCAAAACACCTAGGAGCCCTCCTTGGCTGCTCCCTCTCTTCCACCCACATCCAAGAGTCTCCTCTCCAGAGTCCATAACTCTAGCTCAGTATTAGCCCTTGATTCTCTCTTCTCTCAACCTCTAAAGAGTCCTTGTCACTCTCTAGCATATCACTGCCACTGCCTTCCATCCTGTCTTACCTTCCTCAGTCTGTTTTCCACAGGCTGCTAACTCATCTTTCTTAAAATACAAGCCGGGATTTGTTGCTTGCCTACAGAGTATCTGTCAGAGGCTTCACAGTGACTATAGGGTAAAGCCCAAGTTCTTAACAGGCCTTTCAATACTTTTCTTCTCTCTCTATTCTTCTCTCTCATGCCTCTTTCCAGCTTTCGTCCACACCTCTTCCCCGTACTACGCCCTCCACTGCACCGAACAGAGCACCCCTCACTCTTACTATTGGGATGTCCACATGTATTTTTGTTTAAAATGAATCTCAAGGAAGTAGGCAGCCTGTTGTTCAGGACTCAGCCCAGAATTACCTTTTCCTAAGAAGGCCTCCTTAAGCTTCCCCTAGACTCTGGGCAGTGTGGGCAGAGCACCCCCCTGTGGGCCCCATCAACACCTCGAACCCTCATTTCCTGCACTTATCACACTGTTGGCAATTGTCTAGATCTATCTTTTGTCTCCGTTATCAACTCCCTGGGGGCAAGGACAGGGAATATTCTTTGTTTTCTGAAGGCCTAACGAAATTCCTAGCTTTGGAAAGCATTCTATAAATATTTGCTGAAACAATAAGTGAATGCAAGACCTATTTAAAAACAAAAACAAAAACAAAAAAAACCCTTAATGGTCATTTTAGAGACTACATTATACTCTGTTATATCTAAAAACTCATTCAGAAAGTGACCTTGACCTTTAAGTTTGCTTTAAAATTCTACTATAGTTATTAATACTGCATATTTTCTACATTTTGGATTATGGAGTAGTAATGTTTTGATGTTCATGATACATTTTGCCAATTGTTTTTCAAAAAGATTTTAACAAGCAGCCATCAGTGTTTGAGAGCTCTCCTTTCTTTAAATATGAACTTTACATAATCTTTAAATGGGGTTAATTTGATGGTTAAAGTGTTCTCTCTCTCTTTTAAATTTTCATTTCTAGATTTCTAATGAGGTTGAATATTTTTTCATTGTTTACAACCAATTGTATCTTGAGTCTTGTCAGTTAATATATAAGCATATCCTCAGGCAGAAGATGGGGAGTGGTTTACTAAAGATTCCAGAAGAGTATAAAGATTGATGAGAAGAAAGATTATGTACACAGGGAAACTGATTAGCATCTGTTAACACATTCCAAGGAGGAGAAAATAAGGCTTTGATCTAGAACCCTGCATACGGGAATGGAAAAGGGAATAGGAGTATAGATAGGAGTATAGATAGGAGTATACTGGCTCAGTGGGTTAAGCGCCCAACTTCAGCTCAAGTCATGATCTCACAGTTCGTGAGTTCAAGCCTCACATTGGGCAACTTGTTGTCAGTGTCAGCGCACAGTCTGCTTCAGATCCTCTGTTCCCCTCTCTCTCTCTGCCCCTCTCCCGCTTGCTCATGCGTGCTCTCTCCACCCACCCCCCCATAAATAATAAACATTAAAAATAAGGAGTAGGGGCGCCTGGGTGGCGCAGTCGGTTAAGCGTCCGACTTCAGCCAGGTCACGATCTCGCGGTCCGTGAGTTCGAGCCCCACGTCGGGCTCTGGGCTGATGGCTCAGAGCCTGGAGCCTGTTTCCGATTCTGTGTCTCCCTCTCTCTCTGCCCCTCCCCCGTTCATGCTCTGTCTCTCTCTGTCCCAAAAATAAATAAACGTTGAAAAAAAAAATTTAAAAATAAGGAGTATGCATAAATCGGAATAAAAGAGAGAGATCTAAAATACTTGAGGATATCCATGCAACCTAAGTACAAATCATTCTGTATTGTACCATAAACTAACTGGGCTATTAGATGTTTGTATCTAATTCAAGCTTAAGATAATAAAAGGATGAAATAATTTCCTGGATGATGTGACCAGAAGAAAACTTCAGGAAATGAAGTAACACAGCCACCATGTGATATGGATTCTTTGCTCTTTCCCAGCTGACCCCTACTTCCTGTGGAAAATCAGACAACTGAGACCAGGCAGAATGCTGAGAAGAATGAGGCACCCACGTGGCAGGTTGTGTGCTTGATATTTGCACGTATGTTAAACCATTTAATCTTCACGATAATTCTGCAATATAAATATCATTTACATCTCTATCTTACTGATGAGAAGACTGAATTCAGGGAAGCAGAGTAGTTTGCTCCAAATTCATAGCCCTAAATAGCAGAGCTTGGCTTTCAGATCAGTCTGAGTCTGGAGCCTATAATCTTTCCACACGTCATATCTCTTCATGGGGAAGAATTTCCCACCACATCCCTACGTCTGATTGTTTCAAAGAAGCTGCAAAAAAAGAGAGACCTATACAAAGGTGATTCTTTTGGGTCTTGGAGAAAGAAAAGTCTAGGGGAAAACTGAGTTAACATTTCCTATTAAAAAAAAAGTCTAGGGGAGACAGAGGATATCTATTATTTATACAGTCTTATGAAATCTTATGGGTAGCCACTTTCTTTCAAACCATTGGACAAGCCATCAGGGCTACCTTAGCTTTCTTTTTATCTGGCACCTACAATAATTTTATGTCATGGCCCTCAACATTTTCCGTCAGGCCAGCCAGTTAAATCAAATTGCTCTCTTAGTCACTCTTTGAAAACGATTTTTCCCAAAGTTACCTGATGGAAAATGTATTGTTCTCGAAGTTGGTTGGCAGAATTCCATGCAATCTTCCCATGAACCAAGACTTTGGCTTTCTCAATCCACTTCAAAATGAATTCAAGCATTTCAGTGTATTCTTCTAAATGTGATGCTGCCTGAAAAAATCATTAACATTCAGATAACATATGTAAACTCTGCTTTGTGAGCTAGAAATTAGTCTTCTATTTCTCTTTAGATACAATAATCCTAGGGGTTGATTGTTATAACAGCTGTGATATTTAAAGGTATCACAAACAATCATCTCCTTGTTGAAAATCTGTCAAGGGCTTCCCAGTGACTTTAGGATAAAATTCAAGTTCTTAATATGCTTGAATAATCTTTCTTTTAAAAATATGCTCTGTTCTTATCCCTTGGCCATCTATCTAGTGCCTCTCTATCCCTCCTTCCATATTTATTCCACCTCCACTGATGAAGGAGGTGGTGGGGGGATTATAGCATGCCAGATTTCTGTACTGTAATTCATTAGTTGCCAATCTTGATTTAACTTGTCCCTGATTACAGAAAAAATACATAATTAATTTGTAAAGGTGAGTCTAGAGTCAATAATTATGATGAATGTGTGACCTGAACTTATCTATCTACATATAGATATATCTATGTCTCATATCTTTATATATATTATTTACATGCACTACGTATTTTATTTCATATACATATATAAACATATATGTATACATATATATATATATACACACATATATATATACACACACACATATATCTATAACTTTAAGATAGTTGAATACACCCCAAACTGATTTTATAAAACATGTTAATGGATGAGTATTTATTTCACAAAGTGCTTTTCTAGTTTACAAAATATTCATTCCAAAAGTTCATCTATATGACCACCTTTGTCAATGAACTTCTCATATGGTTTGATATAAAACAAAGGCAAGTTTCCATGTAAATCTTAGGATACTAAACAGGTGTGGTATGTAATAATCTACCCTTAAACCACCCTCATCATTGTCAATATTATCTTTTTATTTTTCAAAAGAAAAAGCAAACACTTAATTTCTACCTTAGAGGATTTTGATTCCTGGCCTGGAAGACATACCTGACTGAGCTTGGAGAGCCGACTCTCAGCCTGTCTAATGGTCTGCTGGTGTAGTTCCATCAGTTTTCCTACCTTCTTGGCCAGTGGTTTACCCAGTTGGCCATTCTGTTCCGAGAATTTCTTTACTGCTGCATCTAGTTCCATTAATTTTAAATTACAGCCATCTAATTCCTCTCCTAGCACCTAGATGGTAATCCAAATAAAAGAACATTAGACTACAGAAATTTCTCCAGCTTTTCCAAGATCAAAGGGTGATATTTTAAATGTTTTTTGTAAATGCCAATTATTATAAAGACTATTTCTACATGATCAAGTCATTTCTGTTTCTTCAGTTAGAAAGGCAGAGCAGATGTAAATTAAAAAAATAAAAAATGTAAAAAAAAAAAAAAAGGAAGGCAGAGCAGACAGGAGGTTTTGTTATGCTGGTGTTTATTTCCTATGAGGCTGAGTGAGAAGGCTAATGTTTCCTTCTGCCCCACCCCGAAAGGATTAGTCACTTAACTCATCAGCAGAGTGAGAGCACCACCAAGGTCATCCTTTATTTTGGAATTTATATATTTATATTCCCCAATAATTATTTGGTCTTTTGACACTCTTCCCTCTTCCCTGCATGTGCAGGTACATTTATTAATACAGCTCCATTGGAATGATGAGGTATATGATGTAAGTTATCTATGCTATTATCTGCATAATAGCATATATATGCTTTACTATCTGGTTTTACTGAAGCTTGCTAATCAAGAAAGTTTTTTTTTTCTCTGTCTATATCCCCAAAATAAACTAACTCCAAAATATATGGAATTCATTCAGTAGCACCTCTTATATTTCCACTTCTCCGTCCTTACCTTTTGGTCGATCTTAGCTTGTTGTAAATTATCTGTCTTTGCTCTCAGCTTACTGAGGATAGTTGTGAGATCTTTGGCTATCTTCTGAATTTGCCGGCTGAATTCCTGGCTCATGGCCTTGCTCTGTTCAACTTCTCTCACTTTGTCCTGGATCTAAACAATCAGTGAGAACAACGAAACCAACCATGATTAAAACTGCATAATTGCTATTAAAAACCTCAATCTTAAGATGTTGACAAGAGACTCTTGAGTTGGTTAACGCCACTTTGGCATCGATGCACTTTGTCAGACCAGCCACATGCCGTTACTGGCTCTCATGGCTTTCCTGCGGCCTTGCTATTCACCACCCCTTACTGCTGCTGTTTCAGCAAAGGAACAAGCCTTGCATGTATAGTGAGCTACACATCAAATGTTTACAGAATACTCATTTTAGATAGAAGTGTACACGGCAGAGCTTGAATCTCAGCTTCCCCATTTACTAACTTCGGAACACAAATTCTTTTAGGCCTTTGTCTCCATAAAATGGAAAACCCTTCCAGATAATTAGAAGCACCTGGATTTGTTTCCAAGCACCTTTTTTATAAGTAGATGTTGGTGATCTGCTAACTCTTTTTCCAACTTCCCAAGTACATCCCAATAATATATCAAAACAGTGTTAAGCATATCCAATAGAAAGAAAGGTGAAAAAGGAACAGTTAATGTTTACAAGTTTCTAATGACTTGATAACATTGATATTTCTGCCTATAATGAAATGTTTGAGAGAAAATGGTAAAGTAACATTTTCTTTATATAAGTGAAGGCTTTAAAAAATCACTTGAGTATAGAGGAAACACACCATTAAAAGAATACTTTTTTTGGACTTGATTATTTTGAGTTGAGTGCCAATGTAAATGAAATGCATGAGGATAACTCTGATATAGAGAAAATTTATCCAGCGAGAAAGAAAACTTAAATTTGAACTTTTTCTTAAAAATCTGAACTTGTGAAGTCATCCTTCCCAGTAGACCTTCCAATGTCTAAGAAGAAAAACCAAGCAGGCCAATTAAATACTTAAAATAGAAAATAACATTTTAGTTTATTTAGACATTTAGATGCAGGGGCATTGAGTTTTCATGAAATTTTTAAAACACTTTGCTTCATACATTAGAGGGTCCAAAAGATGTTGTGCACCTGTATGAATTTTATAATTTGCTGCGAGGGAATACTACTTTGCATTTCGTGTAGCACTTTAGAATTAGTGGGATACCTTCTCTCTGTCCTCTGTTGACTGCTTTTACCTTAACTGTGGCGTTATGTCACCGAGGAGGTCCTAAAAAACCATTATGTTTCCATACAGATGCACCCAAAGCCATTTTCACTATGTAAAAGTGTGCCCTCTTTTGGGGATCTATGATAGAAATGTCCCTCTGATCTCAGTCCTATGAATGACTATGTGTATCTCTTTGTCTAAAAAAAAAAAAAAAAAAAAAAAAAAAAAAAAAAAAAAAAAAAAAAAAAAAAAAGAAAAGAAAAGAAAAGAAAAGAAAGAAAAAACTATTTGTTTTAAAATTCATAGACATGGATTAGATTATGTGTCACACCTTTCTTTGGTTATTTAAAAGCTAGAGTTTATTTGATGGGCCTTCCTCTAGCGACATTATAGGATTCACCAACATGCATTTTGGGTAGTAACTTCTTCCCTGGCTCTACCTTATTTATTTATTTATTTATTTATTTATTTATTTATTTATTACTTTCATTTTCCCTTTCTCCAACTATCTTCACCTACTTAACTTACATCTTGCTGAACCCAAAATAACAGCTAGAAGTGTACCCGGCAGATCCTGGGTACTCAAGAATTTTTGTTGAGTACTTGAAATATATTTGTTTTAAAAAATTGTGTCTTTTTTTTAAGAAAAAGGTGAACTAGGTAAGTTATTTTTATCGTATAACATTATTGTTCACAACTGTGATCATCCGATGTGCTTCTTGCCACCACAGAAGAACCCTAATTTAATATTGTTGTTTTATACGGAAGACATGATTACGAAGACATGGAGACCTGGTTGTGAATATCAAGAACTACGGAAGAATGGAAAGGCACGCTTCTGTGACCGTACGTGTACCTGATCATGGATAGTTCCTAGGTCCAGTGCCACCTCAGCTAACTGAAGGGAGAGTTCAGAAGGTAATATGGAATAAAGACCCAGGTACTTATTCTTCTGCTCTTCAGCCATTTTCTCAATGCTCTGTCGGTGATTTGTGGCTTCTGTTAGGAGAAGCTAAAGAAAAGATCAAAGTAAGAAACTTCTGGAAGCCTGATGAGGAAATTCATTTTTCTGGGTACAGAGACAAGACTGTGTATTTTTCAACAATATATGAAGTGTGGAATTAGAGAAACATCTTTAAAAAAAAATCAGGGGCGCCTGGGTGGCGCAGTCGGTTAAGCGTCCGACTTCAGCCAGGTCACGATCTCGCGGTCCGTGAGTTCGAGCCCCGCGTCAGGCTCTGGGCTGATGGCTCAGAGCCTGGAGCCTGTTTCCGATTCTGTGTCTCCCTCTCTCTCTGCCCCTCCCCCGTTCATGCTCTGTCTCTCTCTGTCCCAAAAATAAATAAACGTTGAAAAAAAAAATTAAAAAAAAAATCAAACTATTCTTTAGTCTCTAGGGAGAAGCATGTCCCCTTTTTACGGAACAAAAGAAAGTTCCTTGAGATAACACTAAAAGCCTTATATATAGTGCATTTATGAAAAGTTTTAATTCAATACTTATTGAATATAAGCAAATCTCTTGGGGTACATGGGTGGCTCAGTTGGTTAAGCATCCAACTCTTGATTTTGGCTCAAGTCAGGCTCTCAAGGTTGATGAAACTGAGCCCTGCATCAAGTTCTGCGTTGATGGCACAAAGTCTGCTTTGGATTCTCTCTCTTTCCCTCTCTGGTTGCCCCTCCCTGGCTCATGTGCTTACGTGCACTCTCTCTCTCTCTCTCTCTCTCAAAATAAATAAATAAACATTTTTTTTTTCAGCATAAATATATCTCATTAAAATCAGGACAGTATTTTTAAATGATGGGTATAGGGAATGAGGAGAGTTTTATACCTGAAGTTCTTCAAGTTGAGCATCTATTTCTATTGTTGGATTCCCCAAATATTCCTTTGTTTCCTGAACCCAAGATTTCACAGAATTGATTTGGGTCTCCACAACTTCTCGCTCCTTTAGCTCTTGCTTTACTACTTTTCCAGTATTCTTCACTTTCTCCTGCATGCTTTGGGAACATTAAAGGGAGAAACTAGAAGTGGATTTGAAATGAAAGGAAATCCCTAATCCATGACGTCGTATTAGCAAAAGCAGACATAAACAAAAAAGTAAAGCCTCATATCTTTTTTGCATGTAAAGACACACCCTCAAGTTGTGAGATAACATTCAGTAACGCTTAATTTTAGCTCGACTACAACAGAAGATTAGATGTCATGTGAAGCGAATGATTTATCCCTAGAAAGGTGAGAGGTGACACACTCCCAGGCCACTATAATGCAATGAATTTTCCTATCTACAGTCAACTGGAGACTGTTTGATTCTTTATACCCTCTTTGGAAATCTACTCAAATGGTGCAGAATCATCTGCAGTTAAAAGTAATGTGTAATTGGAACGTTTCTGGCTATTAGAGGCCAGTCTTTAAATAAAGTATGAAGCTTTGGAAATTAGGCAATTAATAATGTTCAACATCCTTTTGAATTGACATAAGCTTGGCTAAAAAGTTAAATAAGTGAAATCAGATTACCCTGAATTCATTTGTAAGTACAAGAGGTGAATATAGGCTATGAATGAGTAACGTTAGTTAGTTAATATAGGATAAAATTATCTATTGACATTTCTTCTCTGGCTCAACAAGTGAATCAGGCTGATTATGCATCATTCAGATTAACTTTCTCTTTCCACTAAGTTCACTATTGGTAAATAGCTATTATTTATCTGGACTTTGGTATTCTCCTTGCTCTGATCTCCCTGCCCTCCAACTTAGCCAATGAGTTACCAAGCCTGATCAAAATGCAGTTCTTGATAGCTCTCGACTGTTTACCTTTCAAGCTTCATTTCTCATGAATTGTCCCATCACCCAACAGCTCCTTCAAAGTGACACGCTCACTTCCAAGCTTTCTTACATACTCTTCCCCTGTTTGCAAAACCCTCCTCCCACTTTGCTAGTTCTAGTGCGCTCAGTCTTCCGTGTAAGTACTCCTCCTGACGGGAAGCCTCCCTTGATTCCTCTCCTAGGGTGGCTTGCCCTTACCACTCTTTCCATGCTCTACCTAAACGCCTCTGTAGTTGTCTGTCTCTGCTGTTTGAGGGTAAACTGCATGAAGGTAGGCACTGAATCTGTACAGCTCATCACCATGTTTCTAAATCCTACTAGTATATATTTGTCAGATAAATGACTAAAGAGTTAAGAAAGCTGAAAAGCAGGGATGACGGGAATAGTTCTCCACGGTTCTCAGGCGGCATGATGGAGCATCCCCAGACTCTAATACCACACTTATCCCTTTGGGTCATGGCCAAGTTTAGTAAGAGAGAATGAGAGCAGGTGTATAGTTACTTCAGGCACCGGTCTTGCATTGCCGTGATCTCCTGGACAGTGGGTGGCTCTTCTCCAGGAGGCTGCGGGGCTCCGTCCTGAAGCATGCCCAGCGCTTGCTGCCGCAGCATGCCTAAAGCCAACTGCTGCTGTTCCAGTTCCAAAACGAGTGCGTCATGATGGTCAAGAAGCGTTAAGAGCTCTGCTTTTGAGGCTTTCTCTGCTGAACCTCCCGGCAGTTTATCTTGCAGCTGATCAGTCGTTTCAGTGGCTTTTTTAACCTGATGACAGACGCATATACTATGAAGCTCAAAACTAAACTGAAAAGACAGACCAATTCCAATAAATGCCATATTTGCCACTAGGGCACTGAAGCACTTAAAGATGATGGTATAAACTCTAAATTTCAGGGACCAAATGTGAACAATCTCCTTAACATGGAAAGGAAGACCACCTCTTATTCTGGGTTTTAAAATTTAATCTCAAAATAATAGGGTGATCAGAGACTGCATAACAAAAAAGTTGTTTTGCTTTTTTTTAACGAAACAAATAAAAGAAAAACTCTTTCCAATATTTCTGTTAACATGAATATGTGCCTTGAGTCATTAAGGAAGATGTAGTTAAAAACACTGAAACCTACTTTAAAACACAAAAGGAATTAAATATAAGATTTGGGAAATGAGTTAAATTCTTGCTCATTTTCATGACAAAGACAAAGTATTTTATGCTTTTTCAGGGCCAGGTAAGAAGATTTCATTAAAAGCGTAGCAAATGGGGGCAACTGGACTTAGATTCCTTTCAAAATTTAACTGCTTGGTTTTCTCGTTATAATAATCAGACCTCAACTTAGAATTAAATTACACATTGCATGATGTATTTTGTTTCATAATTTGGTTTTCATGGCACTAAAACAGAGACTTAAAAAAAGAAAGGCTTGTTGCTTTTCATAAAGCCAATTTCAAAAAAAGGACAAAATGCTGCTTTTCAAACTACATCGTCATCAGCAAGGAAACAACTATTTGAACCCCTCAGTCATGGAAGTTACCTTATTGTTAAAGCTCGTCCACTCATCTACTGCATCTTCCAGTATCTTCTCCTGGTCCTGAGCCACAGCACGGAGACGGGTCCAGCGCTGCCAGACTGTTGTCATTGACCTGCTTATGGCTGCCTTGCTTGCGTCATTTCCGGTTTTTTCCAGTTGTGAAGTTTTGTCCTCAAGGGCCACAACTTTCTCATGGAAGGAGTTAACTACTGACGCTAAAGCCTGAGGTAGGGAGACGATAAGAGACATTATGAGCAGAGATTGATTTTTCAAAAGTTCTGCGGATTTCAGCAAATCCCCAAATTACCTGCAAAAGGAAATGTTCCCACATATATTTATTTTCCTCTGGTAACTCTTACTTTTACACTTAAGTTTTAATTGACTTAGGCTTGAATTCTTTATTATTTTTTTAAAATTTTTTTTGAACGTTTATTTATTTTTGAGACAGAGAGAGACAGAGCATGAACGGGGGAGGGGCAGAGAGAGAGAGGGAGACACAGAATCGGAAGCAGGCTCCAGGCTCTGAGCCATCAGCCCAGAGCCCGATGCGGGGCTCGAACTCACGGACCGCGAGATCGTGACTTGAGCTGAAGTCGGACGCTTAACCAACTGAGCCACCCAGGCGCCCCTAGACTTGAATTCTTTAAAGAGGTAAGGTGAATTTGTGTCTTTATTAAAAATTGATATATTAAAATATTTTATTTATTTGTTAAAAAGAAAAGTTTATTTGCTACTTGACATAACATTCTCCCAATTTCAGAAGGCAGCAAACATATAAGTGAACTGAATTTGATATTTAAGTATATTATATTCCACCTGATACTGCTGTGATATAGGAGTGAGACTCAGTTATTAATGTCTGAATGTTATTTGAATTTATCTATATTATTACCAAAATGTATTTACAGAAATTTATTATGTGCCACATCTTATCAGAAGCAAATTTCTCTGAAGGTCTTTTTATAAACCTAGCTATGCACTTCAACAGGAATGCAACAGGAATGCAACAGGAATCCTTAAAAGGTGATAACATTTAATTAAGTTCAAAAACCTATGGAATGTGGCTAAATGAATCCTTTTCATATTTAACATTCTTTACATACTTACATGCATCCAGGTGGAAATGAAAATTTATTGACCTGTTTCTAAAACTCTCATATGACAATGATAATTACAATTACAACGAAAGGACAGTTCAAACAACAATACTAACCTTGTGTTCTGACAACTTTTCTTCTGCTTCATGACTGGAAGAAGCCTTCAGTAAAGAAAACTCAGACAATTTCTTTTCTGCCTCATTCATCAATTCGATAACCTCTTCCCTTGCTTTCTGATAATTCTGCCATTGATCTGCACATCTTGAAAAAAAGTCAGACAAAAGCCAGTAAGCAACATAAACTCACACATTTCTATGCAGAGCTCTGATGTCAGTATGCCTAATGACACTTAAGAAGAAGGAATTTAGGTGCTAATGTACATCATTGGTATATTCTTTTCCATGTGAAACTTCACTTCACTGAAATATAAAGACTAAAACAACTCTAATACCTCTGCAAGAGATCTAACTGGGCATGTGAGTCCTGTATTATCCTCTGGCTCTTCTCTTCCAGGGAAGCCATTTTCTGTGCTAGGCGTTCTTTTCCAGTTGGCTTGAGGAGTGGGTCCAGGCTGGCTACCAGGTGCTGGAGCTCCTCCAGATTACTACGGAACTGATCTTCTGTACTAAAAAATTCCACGTGGCTTTTGAGATTTTCCTCTACGCTCTCCACCTCTAGGCCATTGCCTGCCAGTTGTAACATTTCATGAGCATCCTCAAGCCAGTCATTAGCTGCTTGAAATACTTGATAGTACCTCTGACATTGACTGTATATTTGGGTCAAGGCAGCCTGAAAGACAGTAATTGCAAACACAGTCAACTCTCAATTGCAATGTATTTGCCATAAATAGTTTAATTTTTTCCATTTCTTTTCCAGTCCTCAGTCAAGTGGATATATGTGTACAGATGAATTGATACGTTGGTGGATTTGGGGTGGCTGGCGATATCTATTATTATATCTTTTTTTTTTTTTCCTTCTGCTATTCTTATGATACAGAGATTTGCCATGGCAAAGCAAAATAAATAAACAAGGCCAGAAGTGGAATAGAATTGGGGCTTGGTGGTCTACATTAAGAAGGCGTCGGTTAAGGCCACTGGCTCAGGCACAGCTCGCGGTCCGTGAGAGCTCTCCCGCGTCGGCCCAGTTGATCGAGCCTGGAGCCTGTTTTTGTGGTCTCCTCTCTCTCTCTGACCTCCCAAACGAGCCATGTTGCTCTGTTCTCTGTCTCAAAAATAAAATTAAAAAAACGTTAAAAAAAAAGAAATGTATTAGTGGTATCTTGACTATATCTGAAACTTCTCTCTCTTGTAAAAATATATATGCTTTGAAAGATGTGACAGATTGAATATTCACCAAAGTGAGATAATACCTCACTTGGCTGGAAGTATAATAACAACCACTATGGAAAGCAGTATGGAAGTTCCTAAAGAAACTACAAATAGAACCACCATATAATCTAGCAATCCCACTTCCGGGTGTTTATCCAAAGGAAATGAAATCATTATCTCAAAAAGATATCTGTACTCCCATGTCGAGAGAAGCATTTTTCAGTAGGCAAGGTAGGGAAACAACCTAAGTGTTCATTCACTAATGAATGGCTATAGAAAATGTGATACACAAAAATAAACTAAAAATGGATTAGAGACCTGGGTGTGAGACCTAAAACCATATAACTCCAAGAAGAAAATATAGGCAGTAATTTCTTTGACATTGGCTTTGGCAACATTTTTCTAGATATGTCTCCTCAGGCAAAGGACACGAAAACAAAAATATGCTGTTGGGACTGCACCAAAATAAAAAGCTTTTACAAAACAAAGGAAACGATCAACAAAACACAAAGGCAACCTACTGAATGGAAGATATTCATAAGCGATATATCCAACTAGGGGCTAATAGCCAAAATATATTTTAAAAACGTAAACAACTCAACACCAACACACACACAAATAATCCAATTAAAATGGGCAGAGGACCTGAATAGACATATTTCCAAAGAAAACATCCAGATGACCAACAGACACATGAAAAGATGATCAACATCACTAATCATCAGGGAACTGCAAATGAAAACCACAATGAGATATCACCTTACACTTGTCAGAATGACTAGCATCAAAAAGACAAGAAATAGCAAGTGTTACCAAGGACTTAGAAAAAGAGGAACCTTCATGCACTGTTGGTGGGAATGTACACTGGTGCAGCCACTGCGGAAAACAGTGCGGAAGTTCCTCAAGAAGTTAAAAATAGAAATGCCATACAATCCAGTAATTCCACTACTGAATATTAACCCAGAGAAAATGAAAACACTGACTCAAGAGATATATGCACTCCTATGTTTATAGCAGCAGTATTTACCGTAGCCAAGATATGGAAGCTACCCATAGATGATAAATTCATCTATCAGCAGATGAATGGATAAGGGAGCTGCGGTACATATACACAATGGAATACTACCCAGCCGTAAAAACAAAAGGAGATGTTGCCATTTGCGACCACGTGGATGGAGCTAGAGGATATTATACTAAGTGAAGTAAGTCAAAGACAAATAACACATGATTTCACTTATATGTAGAATCAAAAACCAAAACAAATGAAAAAACAAACAAAAAGCAGAAACACACCCCTAAATACAGAGAATAAACTGATGGTTGCCAGAGAGGTGGGCAGGGGGGATGGGCAAAACGAGTGAAGGAGAGTGCAAGGTACAAGCTCTCAGTTACGGAATGAGTAAGTCGCGGGGATGAAAGGTAAAAAGCTTAGGGAATATAGCCAGTGGTGTTGTAATAGTGTTGAATGCTGACGGAGGGTAACTACATTCATGGTGAGCATAGCATGATATATAGTCTTGTCAAATTACTATGTTGTATACCTGAAACTAATGTAATGTGTATCGACCATACTTCAACTACAAAAAAGAAAACATGTATTATGAACATTATTTAAAAAACAAGGAAATCCTGTCATTTGAGAAAACATGGATGAACCTGGGGGGTATAATGCTAAGCAAAATAAGCCAGACGGAAGAGAAACAAATACCACATGGTCTCACTGACATGTGGAATCTAAAGGAAAAAAAAAAGTTGAAATCATAGAAATTAAGCAGACAAGTAGTTGCTGGGGGGTTGGGGGATGAAAAAAAAATAGGGGACGTTGGTAAGATGGTGTACATTTTTAGTTTTAAGTTGAATGAGGTCTGAGGATCTAATGTGTAACATGGTGACGACAGTGGACAACACTGGATTGTTCATTGAAATTTGCTAAGACATTAGGAATTAAATATTCTCACCAAAACAAAAAGGTGAGGTGCGGGATATATTAAGTCACTCAATGGGGGAAATTTTTATACGATGTTTACATATCTCAAACCATTACATTATATACTCTAAATATCTTACAGTTTTATTTGTCAGTTAACCTTCAATAAAAATGGGGGTGGGGAGAAGGAAGTACAACAACACCAAATGTCCAAACTAGCATTCACCACACTAAATAGCAATTTCTGAAAGTGAAATAGTGGCCCATAAGTCTTGAATAGGGACTGAAACAGAAAAGTTTAAGAATGGAAAGCGGACCCCATAAAATGAAATCCATTCAAATCCAGAAGGAAAGGAAACATTGTAACCAGCCAGCTGTGACTGGACAAGACAAGCCATCATTGTACAAGCAGACACAGAAAGTGCATACAAGATTGGCACTTAAGAAGGAAAGAATGTGTATGGACAAGCAAAGAATCAATGGCGGAGATTAGAAATGCCCCTGGAACCACAACCTTTAGTTAATGGGCCAAGAGAATCAATTAAGACTATCAATCACAAGATCACCTTAACAGATTCGAGATTTTGGTTCAAAAATCATCAGATCAACAGATGCAAGCTTATAGAACAGATGTTTCTCGAGAATGAAAACTCCAGGTAACTTCTGTCCTGATTCTTCACTCTAGGTTAAATGCTCTATAGCTATAGCTATAGGGAAATTAAAAAAAAAAAAAAAATTAACAATGACCTTGAATCAACATGAAAGGGAAAAAAATACACTAAATAGACTATCGTTTGAGAAGTCAGAACTTTAGCTGATGACGTTTAGTAAGATTTTACCCAAATGTTAAAATTAAAAAAAAAAAAAATCTATTTAGGGTTAACCTTAATGTATGTGGAAAATAAAGTTACATGATAGCTAAGATTCACTGAGGGCTATTTCTGTCTACACCAGGCCCTACGCAGAGAATAGAAGTCCAAGAGGGAAATATTATTATCCCTCTTCCCCGGAGCAGAAACTGAGATTTAAGGGATATAAGTAATTTGCCCAAGATCAAGTAACTGATTTTAGCTATTATGTTATCCTAAAGAAAGTCATCTTTTACTTAAATGGCTGGCTGAAATCCCATAGAATCAGGGGCTGAGGACAGATGTGGGAGAGAAAAAAAAAAAAAAAGGTCCAAAGGATAAGTCAGAACAGAATAGTCTGGGAGCTCTTAGATCTCTTATTTTTGAACACACAGAATTTGCGGGCCCCAGAACAAGGGGCAATTGGGAGGTCAAACTGAGAAGTTCTGTGCATACTCCCATTTCTTTGTTATCCCCAAATAAAGTCATGATGAACCTTCGAGGCTTGCTTTTGCTGTGCTGCAGGGAAGGAAGAGCAGAGGAGGAAAGGGTGAAGAGATGAGGCGATTGGTGAGAGACCCCACAAGAAACGTGGCTTGGCATGGGGTCAGGACTGCATGCTCTCTATAATGCCTCCAGCGCTAATCTTAGACATACCAGGCTTCAGATTGTTTAACAAAGGCATCTCTACTTATTCATTGCTAATTAATTAATTTTAGTATGAGTGTACTCATACGTGATTATATTATTATATTCATATGATTATATTAGTGCTATCTTGTATCGTCTCTTCTAAAGGTGAGAGACAACTGAGGTATGTGTTATAACTAAGGAAAAGTCAATGTGGAATCCCGTGAGATTAATACCAGGCACCTAAACAATCAGGACCTTTTTAAAAGTCAGGTTGAAGATGACTCACTATAGTATCAAAAAAGAACTCCGGAACGAAGCGATTTTAACCCAAAATAAAAACCAAGAAATTTCTCACAACTGTTTACAAATAAGCAGAGTGGAAAACAGGACGAGAAGGCCCTAGTAAACCAACCTGTCTGGTGCGTAAAGCTTCCTGAACGTCTCCGTCCAGCTCTGAGAGCTCAGCAAGAGTGTGCTGAAAATCTGCAGAAAGGAGCTCTTTGGCTTTCGTGAATTTCTCCTTCTCCTTGTTACTCAGGGCATTCATGATTCTCAGGCTGGACTGGACCTCTTCCTGATGAATCTGGGTCTTTCTGATCTCCTCCTGGATGTCCTGGAGGCTCAGGTCCAGGCACACCGGCCCACTTAGCTCTGCCTTCACGCTCCTCAGCCAGTCCAGGGAGCGGCTCAGCTCTGTCTGGAAGTCTATGCTCTGCACCATGCGGCTCTCACACTCGGTCACCGTTGCGCCAATGGCAGAAGTCAAGACTTTTAACTCCTCTTGCCAGGACTGGATCTGCTGCTTGGCTTTCTCATAAGCCGAGGGGTCAAGGTGTGGAACCAGATCTTCAAGATGCACGGTCACTCGTTTTAGCACGATTCCTGAATCCTGAAGGCTTCCCACCAGCGAGTGATAGATTTTGAGCTTCTCCTCTGCGGGAAGCGTCTCCTCATTCACTTTGGACTGTTCCGTTTTCACAGCCTGCAGTTGTTTTTCTAGCTGGTCGCACATCTTCTCATGCTCTTGATAGGCACTGGAGGTGTCTTCCAGTAAGCCAACCCTTTGTTCCGTTTGTCGCTTCAGCCTGTGGTACAAGGTGACGAGGTGCAGCATCTTGTCTGGCTGCCAAGGCTGTCCTGTACTTCTAAAACTTTCTTTCTTTTGGTTCAGCTCATCCACCGCTTCCCCGAGGCGGGCCACCTCTCCCAACAGGGCTCGGCAGCCTTCCTGAAGAGACACGGCCTCTTCAACTCTCAGGTCAGTGGGGACTTTGCTCATCTTTAAGAACTGGTCCTCAAGTTCACTCAGAGACTGGGTTGTCAACTCGATCAAGGAAGCATACTCTTTCCGAGCAAGAATTGTTTCTTGGACTTTATAGAACTTGTCTTTAGCCAAGGCAACGATTACATTAAATTGCAGGGGAAGAGCATTTAGCTTTTCATTGAGGTAGGAATGATCGACTTCATTCAGCGATGGCAATATGGCCTGCCCAGTTCTCTGCAGCGTAAGTAGGAGATTTTCATATTCTGGAGATTGTTCAAGAATGTGTTGGTATTTGGCCAGTTGGGCGTGCAGCTCAGCGCTCTCATTCATTAGGTTGATTTCAGGAAATGTAATAATATCTGCTTGTTTTAGCCAGTGACAGGCTTTATCAAAATCTTCCTTAAAATGTTTCCTAGAAACCAAACTTTTCTCTAGTTCTTGGAGCCGATGGCTACACTTTTGTAAAACAGTGTCATAGACACTCTGTAATTCCTGAAGCTTACCCAGTACTTCACTCTTTTCCTGCTCTGTGGCTCCTTTCATTAATTCACGACCCTGAGCCCAAAGTCCAGTGACCTCGTTTTGGTACGTCTTGAGGCTGGCTTGCGCACTCTTGCATGTTTTGACTTGTTTGCTCACATCATCCGGTAACAGGCAGATGTGTTCACGGAACATTATCTTTCGCTCATGTTGTTGAATTTGGCTGGTTGCCTGGAACACCGCCATGAGGAACTGGGTTTTCTCGGACAAGGCCTTGTTTAAGTACTTTCGTCTCTGGCCCACTAAGTCGCTGAGGCAATTCACATGTCTCTGTGCATCAGAAAGGGCTTTCTGGATTATCTGCCGCTCATTTAGGCCAAGGTCAGCCATCACCCTGTCAGCGTCCTTTATGAGCGATTTCAGGAGCATCTGTTTGGTCTCCAGTTCACTGCAGATGGCGAGGTGGTCCATGAGGAGGTTCTGGGCCATATCGGGTGGGGGGCTCTGTTTAAGGGCCTCAGCGATGTTGGGCTGCTGTTCTTCTGCCCACTCCATTAGCTCCTGAAACCTGGACCGCACCACATTTAACTCCTCCAGGTTGGTGACTGACACTTGGAGTTTCCTTTTAACGAGGTCCTCAAGCTGAAACCAGCGTTGTTCGAGGTGACTTGTCTGTTCTTTGACTAATTCTTTGTCATCTAAATTCAGATGTTCTATCATCTTTTGCTTTTGATCTTTCAGATCCTCCACAGCCTGCTTTCTCTCCTGCAGTGCGAGCGCTAACTTTTTCAAAGCTTCTAGGTGGACGGCTGTACTCTCTGCATCGGACCTGTCAGTACATTGAAAGATACAAAGACAAATTAGTTTCAGTGAATATCTATGGTCGTTCCTACCATGTTAAATTACACTTCAACATTTTCTTTAAGTGGGTGTTCTTAGCTTACAGCAGCTCAGTTCACGGTTTATTGAAGAGGTTCTGTGATTATTATGGAATATAAGACCCATATATTTCTTCTCGGGACTGCCTTCACTGCATCCCAAAGCGTTTGGATTGTTGTATTTTCATTTTCATTTGTTTCCATATATTTTTTTAATTTCTTCTCTAATTGCCTGGTTGACCCATTCATTCTTTAGTAGGGTGTTCTTTAACCTCTATGCTTTTGGAGGTTTTCCAGACTTTTTCCTGTGGTTGATTTCAAGTTTCATAGCATTGTGGTCTGAAAGTGTGCATGGTATGATCTCAATTCTTTTATACTTATGAAGGGCTGTTTTGTGACCCAGTATGTGATCTACCTTGGAGAATGTTCCATGTGCACTCGAGAAGAAAGTATACTCTGTTGCTTTGGGATGCAGAGTTCTAAATATATCTGTCAAGTCCATCTGATCCAATGTCTCATATATTTCTATATCAGAGGCTGCACCAAAACAAGTTGCCTAGATACTTCTCTGTGCTTCTTCTTCAGGCTAATGCTGCCCTCCCATCACATCTGACCTGAACTTTTAGCTTCTACCTCTGGCTCTCATCAGTTGAACATGATCTGCATATTAACAACATCCCCGGATGATTTGTGTAAACACTAAATATTGACTAGCACTGATCTGCATTTTTGAGAGAGAGAGAGAGAGAGAGAGAGAGAGAGAGAGAGAGAGAATGAACAGGGGAGAGGCAGAGAGAATGGGAGAGAGAGAATCCTAAGCAGGCTCCACGTTGAGCCCCAACACGGGGCTTAATCTCATGACCTGAGCCAAAATCAAGAGTCAGACACTTAACTGAGCCACCCAAGCACACCAATCTACTGCATTCTTAAAAGAAATGAATAAGTCATTCATGAATTATATGCTCTCCTATGAGAAGAAGCTCCAACAATAAAGCACTAGATAGTTTAATCTGTAAGATATAACCAATAACTCTAATAGCTACTCATCTATGTACTTAGGTATTGTTTGCTTGTCATCAGGAATCTTTAAAAGTAAGTGTGAAATGTAAAGAACTCTCAACCCTTTGACTACAAAACACATGTGATAAAATAAATCTTATAAGTCTCTTTCAATTACAAAACAATGAGTTCTGAAGCATAAAGAACAGGGCTGGGCCGTAGTATGATGAGTTCTGTTTGGGACTTAGGAAGTCTGAGGTACCTGTGTCAACCAGATGGAGGAGCCTATTATAAACCCAAATCAAGGGTTTTTGCTGATACTGGCTGGATTTGTCTCAAAGACTTGTAGAATGCTGAGCATCAAGGAAAGGTAAACAAATCAGAAAATAGTGTACCTCCTTCCAGAAAAAGCACTATAATTTATATCTAGAATAATGTTTTTAGGGGCGCCTGGGTAGCTCAGTCGGTTAAGTGTCTGACTTTGGCTCAGGTCATGATCTCGCAGTTTGTGAGTTCGAGCCCTGTGTCAGGTTCTGTGCTGACAGCCCAGAGCCTAGAGCCTGCTTCGGATTCTGTGTCTCGCTCTCTCTTTGCCCCTCTCCCGCTTGTGCTCTGTTTCACTCTCTCTCAAAAATAAATAACGTTAAAAAAATTTTTAGAATAATGTTTTCAGTTTTAATTGCTACAAATTAATAAATCTAGGCAGAAGAAGTGTGGATTTTAACAATTACAGTGATCAGAAGTTTATATATGATGACCCAGTATATGTGGGGAAGAAGGAAATCCTTTTCAAACAAGGTAAGAGGGGTTCGATTGCTACAAAATCACAAAGGACACACATTGATTGAATTTGGATTGTTCACTAATTTCTAGAATTCCAAAAGTGCAAGGAAACTTGACTGAATTATATAGTATGTAACACTTTACGGAAATGATAAGAAACCTATGGAATACAGAGATTCAAGAAGGATTCATTTCATGAATTGATGATAGTCTCATAGCTGATAATTAAACAAAACTAGACATATTCTTCGGATATTCTTTGAAGTCACCATGTAATAGTCTTTGGAATGTCTCTTCAGGTCATGGCAGAAAATGGTGCTTTTTTTCAAACATCTTCCTTTTACGCACTGGTTACGTTAACACCGAGTGAGGAAAACCATGACTCTGTATCCACAGGACAACATGAGGTTCTTAATAATGTTTCATCAGTATTTACAACGACAGACAATAGGATGTTTAAATTGTAAGACATTTTTGATTTTTATAAAAAGGAGGACATTTCCGGCTTAGCGTTTTGGTGAGCCGCTAGAGAAATGCTGTTACCTGGCTAAGTTATCCCATTCTGTAGTGAATTTTTCTAAGAACTCTTCAACAACATTCATACGGTCATGGTAATCTCTTGTTCTCTGAAGATCTTCTTCCCTTTGCAAGCACAGACTGTTAGCCTGAAGGCACAGATCTAACCACTGGTCATTTAAATGGCTTATTTCCTTGTGTTCAGGAGACTCCTGCTTCTTGGTTAACTTATTCACCCTTTCTGTAATCGCGGTCACTGATGCCTGCTTACACTGTAGCTTCTTAACAAAATCCTGAAGGATAAGAACAAAATAGATTAGATGTAATAAGCCTCCCATGCCCCCAATAAACACAGAGTGAGACATAGACATACTATTTGCACACACTTCAAGTAGCTGGAGAAGGTAGAATGAAGGGGTCATGAAGGACAAAGAGGAGATCTAAAAATCGTAGCTCTTTATGAATATTTTCAAGTATGTAAGAATCAAAGGGTAACTGTGGTATTTTCCTTTGCTATGTTATTTTGAGAAGTATAAAGAGAAACTGATAAATGTGAAACAATACTGCAGTCATGAAGGGAAAAAAGGCAGTATTTTTTCTTTAAGTGCAGCCCTGGTTTTCTAAAAATCTTTTGAGAAAAAAATGTGTCTCTATTCTTTTTTTTCTGCATATGCAAACAACATTCCAGTAGAAAATATAAATGGCTCACTATCACAGACAAAAATAAATCTTAAAGTCTGTCAAAAATCTGGTACAACTTCTAATCAAGTTAATATACTTTAATAATTTTCTATTATATTTAAACTATAATATAAATCCTATTCATATTATATTTCACATTAATCATATATTAATACATATTTTATAGGTTAGATACATTTAATTAATTGATACATTTACAATCCTACAGCCTTAGCAATATTGTGGCGAAAGGCTAGTAAATAATAAGGCTTCACGTTTGTTTAGTGGCAGAGTCTTCTGGCTCTTTCGGCTAAACCGCAGCTGTTTTGTTCAGAAACGAACTAGCTAGTGAACGTCCTTCAATCCAAGTAGCTAACTGTAGCCCTGAGAATATATTTAAATATTTACTTTCTCGTCTGTCCTTTCCTGGCTTCGAATCAAGGTTATTCTGATTCTATCTCCTTCCTTAAATAGCTATACTAATGTTGAAGGAGTGACTGACATAAGCCGGTCATAGGTCATAGTCGCCTTTATCTCCCCTGGACCCCATGGATTCCTACCTTCACTTGGGAAACCATGTTCTGTGCAATGTTTAACTCCAGTTCTGAGTGCCTCTTCTTCATGTTCTGTAGTTGCTGGTCAGCATCTTGGAGGTAAATCCAAAGTTCAGCCTTCATGTGCTTGATCTCTCCCCAGCCCTGAGTTAAGTTCTGGGCCTGGACAAGCCTTTGCTCAATCTTGAGAGAACACAGAGGCAAGAAAAGTAGGTTTTATATTAAGATTTTCTGAAGACTTTAAATGTCTAAGACTTATGCCATATGATTTCAATTAGTTGTAAAGCTCTGGAAGTTTTAACAATGTATTAGGTCAAAGCTGTTTTTTTACATTGGGCATTTCAGTAGACATATCTGCCTGACTGACTCATGAATTCAGTCTTGGGGTTAACTAGAAAAGACTTATATTGCTCTTGATTGTGCATTTCTTGATACTTACAAGACACCAAGTAAGTGTTGGATGTATTTTTAGATTGCCTTCACTGACTTTTGAAACTGTATAATTTATTTCAGTAAATAATTTTTTCAACATTTATTTATCTTTGAGAGAGAGAGAGAGAGAGAGAGAGAGAGAGAGAGGGAACATGAGTGGGGGAGGGGCAGAGAGAGAAGGAGACACAGAATCTGAAGCTGGCTCCAGGCTTTGAGCTGTCAGCACAGAGCCTGATGCGGGGCTCAAACCCACGAACTGTGAGATCAGGACCTGAGCCAAAGTCGGACGCTTAACCGACTGAGCCACCCAGGCGCTCCTCAGTAAATAATGTCTTTAGGAAGATATGTGAATTTTATCATCTTTCATAGGGATTTAAGGAGAGATTTGTTTTGACAATATAAAAGTTAAAAAAAAACACACACACGATTCTAATGATTTTAATATCTACATTATTAATTAATTTCTCCCATACTTTTTTCCTTTATATCCTTTTTCTATTCTGTGAATATTTAGTCAATTAAATATCAAACCTGACTCTTTTTTAAGTTTTTTTGTTTTAAACCCAAGCATGTGGCCTTAACACGTTTAAGGCAGCATTGGCGAACACACAGCTTCCATGCTGGCACCTGCTGCGGACAAGTACAGCTGACTTCTCACAACATGTTTCTGTGCTGGCACCTGCTGTGGACAAGTACTGCTGACTTCTCACAACGTGTTGTTCTCACAACATGAGCCCAGACACAGCTTCAGAATCCTTCTCAACACCACCCTCAGTCACCGTGGATGGATTAGAAGGGCCTGGACAGATGGCATGCTCTTTCCTATCCGTAATATAAAGCAAGGATCAGGGATCCTTTTCATAGTTAGTATTATCTAAAGAAAAAGTTGGAAAAAAAGAAAAGAAAAACAAAAAGGAGTGGAAAAATCAGAAAAGAAGAGAGAATGGTAATTGAGAAAAGAGGAGCGGAAAGAGGCACTAATGATGAGTGGTTCAATGCAACTAAATGTTCCAATTCAGTGGCATCGGTATCCTTGTGCTTACTTTCTATGACTTAGTTGAAATTCAAATATCTACTTAGTATAATGGCTGTAGAATCCAATGGAAAGAATAGCCCAAGGAAATATTTTCTTTGACTTCTAACATTGAAGCAAGAGAATATAATAAAACAGACCAATACAATGTGATTTTTAAACATTTTACCATTTGCTCTGTTTCTTGGATGTCTTTTGCTGTGGTTTTCACTGAAGAGCTTGACAAGTCACATGTGGAGCAGAGGAGATCTAAGTAAGTCCTTGCCTGTTCCTGCAAAGCTCTGTAGTGTTTGACCTGGAAACAACCCCAAACTTGTCAGAGTGAAAGAGAAACATGCCATGTTTACAGAGCAAATATTTGTACCATTTGTAGTATCTTGTTGACATTCCAAAAATAACCTTGCTATGCTCAATATTTTCACCCTTGTTATAAATGATGCATATTAGTGATTCGCAGGAAGGAATTCAAAACACACTGGCAGGGATCCATCTGCCCAGCGGCTGCTTCTCAACGTAATTATGGTCTGGGAAAGAGAACACACAAGAAACTTCTACCATCTTTCCAGATTCTCTGCTCACATTCTAGCTTGTTTTCCATTTCAGAGGAAGAATCAGTAGCCTACTCTAGCCTGCTTCTTCACATTCTAGAGAAAGAAAGAAAAGGTCATCGTGCATTTGTAAACTTCATTCCAGTTTAGTAAAAATGAAGATGGCTGGGCTTTTTTCCTCTGCATAAACTTCCTGCAGTGGTCTTCCCTTTCCATAGCCCTAAGGAAGGCCTCTCCGGGTGGATCTTTAATCTATACACAGAAACACAGAGAGATGTGTTTCTGTGAAGAGACTCAGAGTCTATGCAAGCTCTATGTTAGACACTGTGTTTGCAGTACCCAAAACAAAACCCTTGTTTCCATGGAGCTTATGTTCTTATGAGAGAGACTGATAATATGTAAACAAATGAACATGCAATGCGATGTTTGGTAGCGATAAACACATGTAGCAGAGTAAAGGTAGGGAAGTAGGATGAAGAGGTGCTGTTCCTTTGGGGAGTGTACCTCTAAGAGCTCTCTGAGGAATGGAATTGGTTCAGGGAGGGAGCCAGTAATGCCCTGGGGAAAGAACATTGCAGGTGATGAATCCACAGCAAATGCAAAGCCCTGAGACTGGCGTGGAGTGACCCAGTAGGAGCAAAGGTCAAAGAGGTGGGGGTGGGGGGTGGGTGGGGGAAGACCATGGAAGACCTCACAGGGGAGTGGACCCTACATCCTAATTTGTTGGATTTATGCCTCTATGCCTTTTCAACCTCAGAACTACTGACATTTGAAGCCAAGTGAATCTCTGCTGTTGGGGCTGCCCTGTTCAGCACAGGGCTCAGCAGTCTCCCTGGCGGGTCCCAACAGCATCCCCAACACTCCCCGTGGTGACAACCAAAACTGTCTCCAGACATGGCCAAATATCCCGTGGGGAAAAAAATCACCCCTCCTTTCTGTTTACAAATCATGTACATTACAGTATGACACGTGAATTTCTTCAAAACCTTCAGAAGTAAATATACTTACAATCATCACTACATACGAGGACCCTGAGGTTCAGAAAAATTAAGTGACTTACCCATTGTTACCCTGCTGAGTAGTTATTAAAGTTGATGTCTCAGTTACACTGCCTGTGCTCTTTCTGTTCTACCAGGCTGACCATCAGTATTGTGTCCATCTTCCTAGCTTAGAACGTGAACTCGACGACAGTGAAGCTCAGATTTTATTTATACTTTTATGCCCTCAGGAGTCAGCACAACTTGGTACATAGTAAATACTTAACACAATTTCACTGAATGAGTGAATCACAGTATGACATAAACTTTCAGGACTCTACTACCTGCTTCACGGCTTCTGCTCTGCTCAGAGGTGGGTGCTGGGTTGGCTTTAAATCTGGTTGGACTGCAGACAGCCAGGCCTGGCATTGCTGTAGAGTGTCTTGTCGGCTAACATGCTTCTGAAGTTCATGTTCCAAACTCTGGTACACCTGAGACGAAACAATCATGGGACGGTTATTAGGATGTTCAGGAAATCTCTGTTGATTTCTATAAAGATCACCAGACTCAAATGAAAGACACTGACCGGGCCATTTACATGGATTTTATCCACAGGACTCCCCAGTACCATATACATATCTAAGGAGTCTGCTTATGTTCCAAAATATGGCAAAGCTCAATGGCCATCTTTAATTTATCACTTCTCAACCCGCGTGTTATAATATCTTGAGTAGAGGAAGAGAATGTGGGCAGGGCTAATGTAACAGTAGAAATGGGTAGAATACGTAAAACCTTTGAAGTCAATTGTCAAACATAAATCAGAGCTTTTGCAGTCCCTCCCACCACCGCCATCGAATAAATATTGTAAGTTTTGTTTAAGCTAGAAACTAAATGTAAAAATAAAACACCGCATCATGAAAAGGCAACCAGTATTTCTCTACCTCAAATACTTCTGCTTTAAGAATATGGTCAAATTGGAACTAAACTGTAACATAGGGAATGGGAAAGTTGGATGCCGTCATTTCATTTTAGAAGTTGTATTCCAGGACAACAATAATCCATAGTAATCCAAACATCTTCTAGTATGTCTATTCAATTCATTAATCCTCAACCAGCCAACCAATTTCCATTTTATCCATAATGACATACTAAGAAACTATTACGTGTCTCCTTGGAATCAAGGTGAAATATACCTATAATGTTTTTCTGAACAAACTATTCTATTAAAAACAAAGAAGAAAGAAAAGAAAAAAGAAGGAAATGAAGTTAGCATGGCTTTTCTTCTTTTAACACAAGAGAAATGGGGCGCCTGGGTGGCGCAGTCGGTTAAGCGTCCGACTTCAGCCAGGTCACGATCTCGCGGTCCGTGAGTTCGAGCCCCGCATCGGGCTCTGGGCTGATGGCTCAGAGCCTGGAGCCTGTTTCCGATTCTGTGTCTCCCTCTCTCTCTGCCCCTCCCCCGTTCATGCTCTGTCTCTCTCTGTCCCAAAAATAAATAAACGTTGAAAAAAAAAAAAAAATTAACACAAGAGAAACAATGAATTCTGCTTTTCTCTGTCATCTGTTAAATTCACCATTTTCATCTGATGTTGGAACTGTCTCTTATTTATTCTTATTCTAGCAGAACTAAAAAGAGATGAGGTGTTTAGTTTTCTTTATCATTTTACACACATTCATTACAAGGTTCTGATTATGTTCTTAGAATTTCATCAGTTTTTAAAAATTTATTTTAAAATTATGTGTTTGTCTTTGAAAATTTACCAGTTTTTTTTCAATTAAGCAATATCCTTAATGTGTAGAAAATGCGTGCTACAAAATCGGTGTTCAAAAAAAATCTCTATTGAAGGAGTAAGTAAATCTAACAAATAATTACAGATGATGACATAGAGGGAAAAAGGGAGTGAAATGAAATAAAACAGCATGGAACTTTCTGGTGTGCAGGGGAGAGGGCCAGAGGGAGAGAGAGACAGAGAGAGAGAGGGAGAGAATTCTAAGCAGACTCCTGAGGCTCAGCACAGAGCCTGACGCGGGCTTAATCTCATGACCCTGAGGTCATGACCTGAGTCAAAATCAAGAGTTGGATGCTTAACCAACTGAGTCCTAGCCACTCCTTTCTTAATTTTTTGAATGTGAGTTTTTCAAGTCCAGTGAGTCAACTAATGTCACCTAGCATCTTTTTTTAATCATGATGAAGACAGAGCATTCTTCCCATGTCATGTGTATACCTCCAGTTTTTACTGGCTAGCCCACTAACAAAAATAATGGACGTTTTGCCATGCCACTTAAAAATTCTGAAATGATAAAATGCAATTCATTGATTTTAACTAATTTTTGTTAGAAGAGTGATTCTTATCCATCTTAGACTATTTCTATAACATTAAGAATTCCATTAAGAACACCCATTAAGGGGCGCCTGGGTGGCTCAGTCGGTTAAGCGTCCGACTTTGGCTCAGGTCATGATCTCACGGTCCGTGGGTTCGAGCCCCACGTTGGGCTCTGTGCTGACCACTCAGAGCCTGGAGCCTGTTTCGGATTCTGTGTCTCCCTCTCTCTCTGACCCTCCCCCGTTCATGCTCTGTCTCTGTCTCAAAAATAAATAAACGTTAAAAAAAATTTAAAAAAAGAACACCCATTAAGTTATGTCTCAAATTTGATACTAACTCCTTTATCCAATTTCTTTTTTTTAAGTTTATTTATTTATTTTTGTGAGAGAGAGAGCAGGGAAGAGACAGAGACAGAGGGAGAGAGACAGAATGAGTGGGGGAGGGGCAGAGAGAGAGGGAGAAAGAGAATCCCAAGCAGGCTCCATGCTCAGTGAGGATCCCAATGTGGGGCTTGATCCCACAACCATGAGACCATGACCTGAGCCAATGTCAAGAGTCAAATGCTTAACCGACTTAGCCACACAGGCACCCCTATCCAATTTCTTTTTTTTAATGTTTATATTTGAGAGACAGTGTGAGCCAGGGAGGGGTAGAGAGAGAGAGGGGGAGACACAGAATCCAAAACAGGCTCCAGGCTCTCAGCTGTCAGCACAGAGCCCGACGCGGGGCTCGAACTCACGAACTGTGAGATCATAACCTGAGCCGAAGTTGGACGCTTAACCAACTGAGCCACCCAGGCTCCCCTCCCCTATCCAAGTTCTAGATGATTTCATAAAAATGTTGAATTGGAGTAGAACCTAGGTGGCATAGAGTTAAACGGAAAACAATTATTGTGAAAAGTACAGAATAAACTTACTTTGGTGTTAGAGAATAAATGGCAAATTATAAGTATTGATAGTGTGCAAATCAAAAGAAAACAAAATTTTTAAAAATTTTCACAATCAATATATGAAATAAAGGGATTGGGAAAACTGAGTATCTTCACATCGATCAAATGTGTGATATGTGATTGTGTGTCCACACAGAGGCTATGAAACCTATCGTCCTATTTCCTATCTGGAAATGCAACAAAGTTATCCTGAAGACTGAAGATCAACGTTATTTTTGAAAAGCTCTAGATTATAGAGACTTCCTCTTTAGTTCATTGTCATTCTAGAATATTCTAGGGGTACTCACCCTCTGGGCTGTACTGCAGACAGCTGAGTAACTGTCCTTAGTGCCCTGCAGGTGAGCGTACACATTTTGTTTTAGTTTTGCTTGAAGGTGGTCTGCACACTGGCTGATCAAATTGTCGCCTTTACTTTTAAGGTTGTTCAAACGGTCTTCAAAACCTGCAATTTCTTCCATCATTGCCTGCAAAAATGGAAAAAAATACAGAGTTCCATAATTTCACCTTTAGTTTTTAAATAACCAATTTATCAAAAAAGTTTACAATCAATCATTTCACTGTTTAACGATGTTTTTGAAAAACTTTTGCATGTTGCCTTGGTGACCAGATTCACAAACAAACAAACGGAAAATCTGTTTTTAACGATACTCTCATGGGGAGAGGTAATGAGTTTAATAGATTAAGTTATATAGGGATGATGCAGTAACCGTTAAGACGAGAGTGAATTCATGGATGACCTCAGTCATACAGTTACAGAGATATCTATTCCATGGTATTGTTATCAGCAAAATGGGTGTCCACACATTTTGCAGCTCTATAAATTATAACTCTGGTATAATTTACATCTAAAATAACCCAATTACTACTTAACCTAATTTACTAATATCTAATTACTAATATAATATCTACGGTATAATAATTGACTACCTTATTAGTAATTTATATTATATAATACCTAACTTACATTACATAGTATTTATACTAATAAAAATAATATTTACCATGCACCATTTATTAAGTACCTGGTATAGTCTAGGAACTATATATATCCCTAATAAGTGTATATTATCATCATCATTTTACAGCTAAGGAGATTGAAGCACAGAGAGGTTATATAACATGCTCCAAGTCAAATCATCAGTAAATGGCAGGGCCCCAGGCTCTGGACCCCACTCTGCCTGACTCCAGCTTGTACACACCCCCATCCCCATACGTGGTGTCCAGTGAGCATTTTCACAGATCCCTTACAGAGGGGGAACCAACTTTTTCAAATCAGGTTTTAATTTCCTTACGGCGATACAATACTAGCGACAAGTGGCACATTCCAACACCAGGTTTCCTGGGTTGACACGTCGATATACTTAAGAGAAACTCTAATGGGATCTCAGCAGCCCACAGTCCACCATGTTCTGAACTGGTGATGGGTTAATGGTTATCGCATACACACCATATCGAAAAGAACCGTTTGTCTTTGAGTTGTTATAGAACCACTGCACCATGAGGTTATTGAGGGCATTTCCTCGGTGCCTAGTAGAATATATTGTGTACTTGTTTTTCTATTCTTATTTGCTACATAAAATTTCCTCCTCAATATAAGGCATCCTGCAGCCTGAAGAGGTTAACTGGCTTTCTTAAGACATACTAGATATTGAGCACATCGTGACTAAAATTCAGTTTCCCATTAAGGTCACCAAAGTTGCTCCATAAAATTGTGACTGCATGACATCTGTCATCTGGCACATATAATTACTACCAATACATAATAATAAAGATCAGAACAGTGCATATCAGTAACCGTGCTTCGTGGTTTACAAAATGCTTTCGTGTACATCATCTCCTGTAATGACCATGACACCACAACAGCTCCGTGATGGGGCTGGTATCTTTATTGCCCTTTAGAGAACAGCAAAAGGAGGAGTCTCAGAGAGGTTAAGTTCCCCTGGCTAGGAAGAACAGAGTCTGGCCAGGATCCAGACACCTTATGATTACTATTCCTGTACCCTATCTTTGGCCACACTTTTCTAAAATAAAGCTAATATCTTCCTTTGATAAATTACTTTAGAAAGATTAAATTCTTCGGGGGGCTGGGGGGAAACTATTAGCTGGGAAAAACACCACGATGTGTCTAGAAGTTGAAAGCCAGGATTGAACTGTTGTCGCTTCACTTAAATATTGAATTCCACTGTTCTCAGTTATCAGATGTTCTTGAAACTCAGACCTGATTCTTTAAGTACAGTTGTTATGATCCAGAGATGTGTGCTCACGCTCTCTCTCTCTCTCTCTCACACACACACACACACACACACACACACACACACACACACAAGAGCACAGCTGTTAAAGCCACCCTGCATTCTTCAGCGCTTTAGAGACAGGCGTACCTTGTGGTGAGCCAGTTGCTGGGTAATTGTCTCTAGACTGCTTGTCTCCATGAGGTCAGGCGCCACCAGTCGGCCTGACATCTGCAGCAGCCACTTTTCTACTTCTTGGAGCTCACTGTTATAATCTTCATGGTCTTTGACTTTCGTCTCAAGACTGCAGACGTGCTCCTGTAAAGCCAGGCACACATTACAGATGAACTTCAAGGCAAAAATCTACTCATGACTGCCTTATATTTTTTAAAACCCAGTGCAACTCATACGGTAAGTACAGTTACATATTTCAAAAAATTACTAGGAGCAGAAAAAACACAAAGAATCATCATACAACTTAAAATCCCTATCTGAGGGGCACCTGAGTGTCTGAGTCAGTTGAATGTCTGATTCTTGATGTCGGCTCAGGTCATGATCTACGGTTTCTGGGATCAAGCCCTGAGTCGGGCTCTGAGCTGACAGGGCGGAGCCTGCTTGGGATTCTCTCTTTCTCTCTGTTTCTGCCCCTACTCACCCCCAAAATAAATAAATGAACTTTAAAAATAAATAAAATAAATCCCTATCTGGATAAAAGGAAAAAGCCTGACTCATACGAGCCCTTAATATTCTGAGAAATAAAGTCAAAAGTCCTTTTTGGCAAATAAGCACATTTTTACTTATTTTAAAAAAGTTTTTTAAATATTTATTTTTGAGAGACAGAGAGAGAGGGAGAGCACGAGCAGGGGAGGGCAGAGAGAGAAGGAGAGACAGAATCCAAAGCAGGCTCCAGGTTCCCAGCTGTCAGCACAGAGCCTGACGTGGGGCTCAAACTCACGAACCACGAAATCATGACCTGAGCTGAAGTTGGACGCTTAACTGACTGAGCCACCCAGGTGCCCCAGTCACATTTTCATTGAATTTCTGGTTTCACCTTACCTTTCCCGCACCACAGAGGTCCTGGTAATCACTTTGAAGTTTATCCATTTTGTCCTTTAATGTGACATCCTGCACCAACTCCAAGAGAGCTTCACCTTTCTCTCTCACTGATTTTATTGATGGTTCATGGGACAGCACCATTTGTTGAAGTGACTTGAATGACAAAGGAAAAAAAAAAAGCCAGCTCATCTATGTGATCAAAGTAAATATATACATACATCTGTGCCGTGTGTGAGACTATCTACCTCAAATAAAGATCTCATAGATATGTTTATAAATCAAAAAGTGTGAAACATTAGAGAATAATCTTTATGATTAATAAAGTTTTAAAATACAGAATAAAAGTAACACATCACATAGCCATGCACATGTGGAGAGGGATGTATGGAAAAGACGTACCCTTGGCTAAATTTAACATAGTTCATATTTCTGTTTTCCACCTCATTTCTTCCACTGGAGGAAAAAAAAAAACTCAATACAAAAGGCAGCGAGGTGTTATCATTTGACTTTGAACTCATGCAATTAATTGCAGCTTGAGCTAGATGTGAAGTTAGAGGGACGGATTCCAGCAACTCCATTGCTATAACAGGCTAAACGCGCTATTTAAAAATATCAAGAACTCAGTGAGGGGGAGGGAGGAGAACCAGTTATGATGCTTAGGTGGCATTTTCAAAGGCACACTGTTACCCTTGGCAGAAAAACCCAGGACGGGAACAGACATATGGCTGGAGGATGAAACGCTTCGGAAAGGAAAAGCTGTGAGGCAAGCCACCACACTGTAACTCTTAAAAACTGTTGCCAGATAATTTGGGTCAAATGTATTCCACACGTATTATTCTACATATAAGCCTCAATGAACTGTTTCAACGTTTGAGCAGGTGAAATACCTATGTCTATCTGTATGTTATGTATAGCTGTATCCATATCACCACTTATTCTTTCAAAAATTAAGTTCTAAAATGTGAAGCCACCGGTGGTTAATTAGAATTTATTTTCTTACAAATGTGGTATCTCATTCTCAATTTACCACAGATCAGCTTATAGGCATTGGGTACCACAACATGAAGGAAAGACTCCATACAAAAGAGATAAAATTCATACGTACGAGATCCTGATGCTAAGGAAGATTTATCTCGGGTACCCATATACCTGAATCAGACTATCAGAAAAGATCGCCATTTACTGATACAATCTGAGTATCAAGCAGGTATGATTCCTGAATGGAGGACTAAGCCTGATGTAGCACGTCTAGCCAAATAAATCTACATCACTCACTGCCAGTAGAACAGACATGTTAAGGACATTTTCCAGCACCCACGAAGGGTGACACACACCAGGAATCATGTTCCTCCACCCAGTCCTACAGGTGTGACCTCCCCGAGCATTTGTCAATGAGGAACGACATCCTACCTTATATTTAGATAACTGAGCTTTTTTCTCATATAATTCCATTTTGGGTTCTTCAGGAGTGTGTAGAATTTCTTGGTATTCTGATATCCACTGAGTTAGTGCTTTGTATTTATCCGAGAACTCCTTTGCTAACAGAAGGCCTTTTTCCAGAGTCATGTGCTCTTTCCGGACGGTGCTGGTCAGTTCCTTCAACTGCTCCACATGCTCATGGATGTCTTTCCTTAACATTTCTGCCTCGCCATCCTCCAAGTATTTAAGAGCCCTCTCTCCTTTCTCTCGGGCTGATTTCAGCAAACTGTGGCCTTTGTCCATGTCTTTTAGCAAACCCTGAGGAAGAGAGGGAGCAGGAAGCAAATAGAGAGTTAGTATTATTTCTTTCCTTTTAAAGAAAAGGCTTTCAAGTTCCATTCTCGAGTTTCCCCTTAAAATACACTGTTGAAGTTTTATAACCCGATGTGACCTGCCAGGAATCAGAGTCCTCTTTTCCTTACTTCAATATAGGTTTTAACAAGTCTTGAACAATATATTATTTCCAAATCAGAGACTTAAAGCAACAACAACAAAAATAAAAACCTGACCTTCTTCTCATCCTCAGTAGTATTCCTAAAGATCTGAGTAAAAACTCTTTTGTTAATACGTGGTGCCACGAATTTGAGATAATTTTTTTTTTAATTAAGCGTCAAACTGGAATTCAGACCTGAGCAACAAAGTCTGAGTCATTCAGGTGAAATCACATCACAAATCAACGAAAGCCAACTTTTGGCCTTACAGAGATTACAACATAATATTTGGAGGGAAGCGTGAGCCACAGACCATCACTCCTCCTGGGGAACAGGATGAGCACACATGCTCCCAATACCTGTGCGGGGGAAAGGGCCAACAGGGTGCAAGAACTGAGGTGGGAGACAGGTCCAACGTATGCCCGCCTACCTCCAACGTCTTCATTTTTTTCCCCATCGTCGCTTTATCTACTCTGTCAATTTTGGTGGCCACGTTCTTGAAGTTTTTATGAGTGGAGCTGTACCAATCAGAATAGGAACTTAGGGATAATTCTGATTCCTCCAAACTCTGGATCTCTTCCTCCAGGAATTGTATCTGTTCCTTTAAAAGGAAAAACAGAATTGGACAGGAAATTAGAGACCTGTACCAGGGCCTTTCTTGATAAATGTGTGTCTTCACCAGAAGTTGAAGGAAGGGAGAACATTGCTGCTTGTGAAATGTGCTGGCCGGTCGTGAGCAGCTGGTGGTGCACTCACCAGCACTTGGAGAAGAAGGGCCTGGTATCTGGAAGTGAGCTGGGTGGCCTGACAGCCCATGCTGCTGCTCACATGGTTCTCGTCCAGCATCTCCTGAGCTCTGGCGCCCACATCCTCAACTTCATCTTTGTACGCGATGACTTCCTCGTGCCACTTCTGAAATGATGTAAATGTTGCAGGAACTGGGTCAATCTTAGGCATTAGGGTGTAAGACAAATGTTATGTATCTTCATAATAGGAAATGATGTCAGTGTATGTTCAGAAGATATTTATTCTGCAACACAACTTTGAAAATATACTATATGTCCCTTATGAAAAATGATATAAAAACTATACCCTTCTTATTCGGGCACTTTTCTGTATATATTACACTTCAGTATAAGAAAAAACGTGTATAAAATTATCACTAATATATAAAATGATTCTAGTCTATGTTTAGAATATATTTACTCTGAGATACAATTTTGAAAATGTGTCATATATAACCTTCATGAAAAATTGTATTATAATAGCACGATAAAAACCATACTCTTTATGAGTTTGAATACTTTATGTATTAGACTGGCTCAAAACTTTTTTTTTTTATTTTTTTTAACGTTTATTTATTTTTGATACAGAGAGAGACAGAGCATGAACGGGGGAGAGTCAGAGAGAGAGGGAGACACAGAATCGGAAGCAGGCTCCAGGCTCTGAGCCATCAGCCCAGAGCCCGACGCGGGGCTCGAACTCACGGACCGCGAGATCGTGACCTGAGCTGAAGTCGGAAGCTTAACTGACTGAGCCACCCAGGCGCCCCAAAACTTTTTTTTTTTTTAAAAAGACAGAGTCACATATATTTTTATGTCTTCTGTTGTCTGTTCTGTTGTAGATAAATTTTAAACTGGATGAATAACGATAAGAAATTCCAAAGGCCTAAATATTATTTTGATCATGCCTACTGAATTTGCATAAAAGTTAGAATAAAACTGATTATCAAGTATTATTTCAATGCACTACATTAGAGCAATTTCAAATCATAGCCATAAACTTAAATGATTTCAATACTATCATTCATATATCTTGACGAAGCAAGGTAATAGAGTATGGGAAGAAAATACAAACTATTTCATTAAATTATATTTTATTAAAGACTAATTTAGGATTCTATTGAGCATTTGCTGTTAGAAAAATGTTCCATAAAGTAATCCATTTTTGTAAGCAGAAAGAGATTTTGCAAAATTTAAACCTTGGACAAAAGTTACTGAATATTTTAAAGAAACGCACTACACAAGGTCATTGCTACTTTGACAAAGACCAAGAACTGATAGACTTTGTACCTTCATCTGATGTAACTGTATCTCCTTGGCTGCCCGGTTAGACTGACGTCCAGTCCTGAGACTCACTTTGTCCTCCAGTGTTTTGAGCCACTCGTCTACTTGCTGATACTTTTGTTCCATCAGCCTCAGTTTGTTGACCACATTGTTGAACTGAGTCCGGGTCTCAGACAGTCTCTGCTGGTAAGCCTGCCAGTCCTGCCGGAGGGATTCTAAAGCCCGGTCTTCTGTCTGAGGGATGCCGGATGGGATCACTTCCTCCCTGGTGTGTAGCACCGAATTCAACAGCACCTGCCCCTCGGCGCAGTGCACCTGTAGCTCCTGTGGGGGAAACGTGTGGCTGTCACACCTCATTCATATTTTACACCTGCACAAGTTATCATGTCTCACCCAAGTCAACAGTGCCAGCTTGAACTTCACATTAGAAAATCATTATTTTATTCTCGATCTTCTAAGAAATGTGCACCTAACACTGAACATCATTTCTCAAGTCAGAAGACTCAGAAGTATTTCCAGTAAAATAATCCTAATGCACAAATACACAAATTTACACACACGTATACTCCAACATTTGTCTTCACCGTCTTAGAAAGTTTCTGAAATTTGGCTTTTCAGCTTTCAGGCAAAAATACCTGTGATTAAAGCGGTTTTATTTAAAAGAATAACCAAATCTTCTTATGGCTCATAAACTACAAAAAGGCCTAAGGCTTCTTGCTTTGACATTAATGGGGTCAGTCTATACTGTGGCTGAAAAAGGAACCATGGACCCTTTGTTTTGCTAGGAGAGATCCTTTGCCAGAGCTGTTCTAGGGAACGTGATGGTCAAGAGAAGTTGGACCTGGAGAGTACAGGGCATACAAACCTGGGAGGCCAATCTTCATACCTGCCCTGTAGCTGCTCGCAGGTACAAAATATCTTTTCTTCCACCAGAGCATAAGCCCCAAAGGTTTACCCTACAAATTTGGTATGAACCAAGCCTTAAAGAGCAAACACTACTTTTTATAGAAAGAAAAACTCATCTCCTTAAGGAGGTTGGCAAAAGAATGTTATATACTTGTATTTCTAATGTATAAGGAATCTATACTGTTACTTGATCTGATCATCTAAAATTGAAAGGAACCCAGTGAAATCTCATTAAGAATGTCAGAAGTACCAACATTTTTAGTTAAAATACATAGTATTTTTTAAATCTTCAATATAAGTTCAAGCCATTTGAAATTGCGCTGACCATCTTTTTAATCTACAAAGATAGCCATGTCATGTGGTTCAAACAAATGGATACTTTTTTTCTTACCTATGATGCCACTCTAAGAATGTTGTAATGTGAATGTTTTATAAGTGGAAAAGAACAAGATATATGGTGAAATACTAATCAAAATGTCCACCAACAGAAATTTTATTCCAAAATTCATAGTTTTTTAAAAAACTTAACTTTGTATAATACTTTCTCTTAATTCAGGATTGGCAAACTTTTTTTTTTTTTTTTATAAAGAACACAATAGTAAACATTTAGGCTTTGCAGGCCATACAGTCTCTGTTGTAACTACTTACCTCTGCCACTGCAGCACAAAAGTATCTATAAATGATACATAAGTGAATGGGTAAGGCTGTGTTCCAATAAAACTTTATTTAAAATGTAAGTATCACAGCCATAGGTTGTAGCTTACTGGTCCTTGCCCTAAATTTATTAATCTTCCCACTATTTCACTTTTTCCATATTTTATAACAGTTTTCTTTATCATACGAATCATCACTATGTTGGGTAAATTCTTATATATCCCATGTTTCAAGTATTCATTCTGAAGGAAAAATATGGTCCAATATTTTACAAATCCATATGTGCGATGACCCATATGAAGCCTTCAGTTTATAGAAAATAACTTGTAAATGTGGCCCAGACAGCTGGCCACACCACCGTGCGTACTGTAGGACCTCAGGATGCTGAGGAAGTTCTGCCATGCAGATGAAATATCACGGTTCTCCGTCAGCTATTTCCACCACTAACGTCTCTTCTCCTTCTTAAGATTTGTGGCAACTCAAAATAAGACAATGTAAAAACCAACATGTGGAGAGATAAGAGGTACCCAGTTCAGGCCGTGCTACCACTGACTGAAGTGAAACATTTTCCTCCAAACAGAACAAGAGAAACATCTGCTGGTGACAAGTGACTTATTTGTCCCAGGTCCCAAACAGAAGGCTAGAGAGCTTGGTGTGTGCTTGCCAAGAATTTGAAGTGAAGTGCTGAGAGGGATCATTTAGCAAAAACAAAGCCAAGCCTACTAGAGGAAATGACAACGGCTACACGTGGCAGACCAGAGTACTTATTATTTTGAAAGAGAAGCGATTAGATCCTTAAATAAGCTAATGAAATTAGGACCCTTTTAACGTCTCCCTCATAGGTATTTCAGGAATGGAGCATCATTTAAATGAGTTTTGCTCCCATCTCATTTAACCCTTCCTTCGGACAGCTCTGTGGAGGACCCTGAATGGGAGAGGTTCTCTCTTGCCCCAAGTCATCCAGTGTGAGGTCCCACACCAAGGATTAGAGTCCAAACTTTCTAATCTCAGACTTGTGCTCCTGCCATTATACACTCCCCAGGACTTAAGTGAAATAGCCAGAAATTTTACATGCCAGTGATAACCTCCGAGACCCTGTTGTTTTCCCTTTGTGCAAGCTATAGGTACCTCTTGCCCAATCTGGAACCGGTTCAGGGTTCCAGAGCTGATAGCCACCAGGGCTGATACTATGTCAATAAATTCCAACACACAGCTGGTGGCACATGCATTTGTCTCACCGGCCTTTCTCCATTCTCTACTCTGTGTGCCTCGTGGTCCCTTCTAGGGCCACCTCCTAACCCCTCCCTATCTCTCTAGGTAAAATTGCAGGGCTCTCTTTGATGTTCCTATAAGATCCCTTGAACCAGTCTACTCTTTATGACATTGTTCATTTTTCATTTCATGATTCATTATTTCTCACTAAAGTGCAAGTTCCTTGAGGGCAGGAATCATATTTTAATCACCTTTATGTGCAGTAGCTAGGAAAGCATCTGCACAGCATTAGGTATTCAATAGATGCTGACCGAGTAAATAGGTAAATGAGTTAGGGCCACTTTCCCCACTAGGTCTTTCATCTCGCCCTGCATTGCAGCCTGCCTGCCTGAGCTAATTCTCCTTCAGCAGTGTGGGAGCTTTTGGCTGAAACTAGATGGTGCCATCAGTTTGACTTCGAGGAATGTCATGTTCTACCGACTCCTGCTGCCAGGCTCCAGTTACAATTCATCCTTTAGGGAGCAACAGGCAGGTGGGCCAGTCAACACCATCAACTAGACCATTAGCCATTGCTGACAGCGGCCACCTTAGTAGCTGACCAGATTCCTCAAGTCCCAGTCCTGCTCTGTCTAAATTGTCCACCTGAGGATCTCAAATAGCATATACGACTGAGATCCCAGAATGCTGTAACTCAGGATCTCCCTTAATGGCTATCAGCTCTCTACAGGATTCAAGGTCCTATTAACTTCCCATTGCTTAAAATAATAATTCCATATTCAGGATGAAAATTCCTGCAAGATGAAGTAGACTTTACCTGAAGATCCCGCAATGTTGTCTCATGAGTGTGAGCATCACCTTCAAGAACTGAATACCGGTCAAGCTTTTCTTGTTCTTGCCCCAGCCAAACTTCAAATGCCTTTAGGTCTCTCTGATACTCTTGGTGCAGGCGAACTAGTTTTTCCGACCTGGTTACTGCTTCCTGTGATGAGCATTTAAGATGGTTAAGATAGGAATACATTACCACATGCAGTGTTGACGTAGTATAAGAATTCACTTTTGGAATTTCAGGAAGACATGATTATTAAATCACTGGCATACGATTTCCTAGAAGAATGAAACTTTAGCTTTAAGTAAAAAATACAAACACATAATATCAGGATGAAAAGGGGTCTTGAGGATTATTTAGTGGAATTAACTATCGATCTCTGAATTCCTTATGAAATGTAACATGGGTTTGCCAAACAATGAATGAATCTTACTTGTCATGAGAAGACACTTTTGCTAATGAAGAAAACTGAAATTCTTATATTGTGCCTTAAGTGAGGATTGGGACTCGTGTGGATTTAATTTTCCATGTTCTTTGTCTAATGAAGTAAGATGTGCTTGAAAGTTATTATTTTCTTTATGAGACCTAAATGCAGAACGATAAATATTACTGGTGATTATTTACTGCTTCAGAAAACTCTCATCACCAGACATATGAAAACACTTATAAATCTTCATTGTGATGCTATCCAAATTTTTTCTTAAGTTGGTGGGAATTTTTATCGAGAATCATTTTCCTTCTGCAACTTTCATGTACTAACACCAAATGACGGTTTTTGTTTGTTTCTGCCAATGTTCAAAGTACTAACATTCATTTGTTCTTTGTGCTTTCACAAAGCATCATTCCAGAAAGTAAAGGAGTCTTTAAGTAGGCATAGGTCTAAACCCTCCTATTTCAGTGCACCTGCGTGGAACACGGGTAGCAATACCTTGGCCCTCTCTGTGATTGCTCTGTATCGCTCCTGAAGATCCTGGAACTCTAACTGGGTGACATAGTGCTCTGTCATGCCAGCCCCTTTGAGTTCAATGGCCTCCAGCAAGCTGCTGTAACTCAGCACTTCTTCACTTAGTAACTAGAGAACATTTAAAGGAAAAGAAAGAGTTACCAAGTATACCGACACATCAGTAACACTGCTGAAATTAAGACAATTTAACTGTGTTGTTGACAAGTGACCTCAGGTTTTCTATCTACAGACAGGTAGCTCGATAGATCCATCCGTCTATACGTGTGTATAAAGTGTGTGTGTAAGTATATTTGATGTCTGACTCAGAGCTCGCTCTGAGAGATTGATCCCAATCGACTTTGGCATCTTAAACTTGATTTGTCCAAAAATGGTCTCCTGATCTCCACTCCATTCCCATACCTTCCCAGGCCCCACCAACCCCCAAATCCCCTTCCCCTCCAGTCTTCTCTCAGATAGTAAATGCCACCACATCCCATCCAGATGGCCATCTCAGACCACTGGAAGTCACCCTTTCTCCCTGCTCTGTCATGCCATCTATGAGGAGATCCTGTTAGTTCTGTCTCCACGTTATATCCTGACATTTGTCCTCATGTCTCCTGCAACCACTCTAGCCCATGCTGCTACAATCTTTTACTGGACTCGTGCAATATCCCGCTGGGCAAATTCCCCGCCACCAATTCTTGCTCCGTTCCTTTTTCATACTCCACACAGCAGCCTGAGTGATGGAAGATTTTAAGCCTATAAATGGAGTCCTGTCACTCCTTAGCTTAAATCTTCGACTATCTTCCCGCTGCTGTCAGGATCAAGTGCAAACAATCAGGCTAGCCCATGTGGCAATGTGTGGATGGGTCCCTGCTCCTCTACCAGCTCACGTAACAGCACTCACCCTGTTTATCCTCTGTTCCGGCAACATGTGGCCTTTCTTTTAGTTCCTCTGTGGAGCCAGATTCTCTCCCCCCTCAGGGCCTGAGGATGTGCTGATTATTCTACCTGGACTGCTCTTGTCCCACCTCCTCCCCAGACTGATTTCTCTGCACTACATTCCTTCTGGCATAGTCTACAAGCCTGCTGTTTCAGAGAGGACTTTTCTGTCCCTCCTTCCACTCCAAACAATCCACGTTAGCTCCGTGCAGATGACTCTTTCACAGCGTGCCACTTTTTTTTTACGTGCTCATCATCGGTTCTAACTGTGTATTTATTCATGCACTCGGGTGGGTGTACGTGTTCCCACCAGAACGCAGTGCTTCTCTGTTGTATTTACCTAGAATCGAGCACAATGCCAGGGTGCAGCAAATTCTCAATAAATATTTATTGAATAAGTGAATAATTTAATTAGCCAATAAATCATTAGAATAATATTATGAGGTGGATAATTAGGATTATATTAATTTTCGGATGCATAAATGAGACTCTAAAATGTTAACTGATCTGGCATAAATCACATAGGCCATTTAGTCATTCAGATGACTTTTATTAAGCATTTGCTCTGTGTCAGCCAGAGAGCCCAATGCATAGGATGTAAAGAAATATTAAGCACCTTTAGCCACTGAGGGAGAGCGGGATATAATCATATATTTTGTACCAGTGATAAAAAGATATGAACAACAGAGGATAGGAGAACTAAGTAAGCTTAGGGTGGTGAAGGTATCACAACAAAACAACTTGTGTTAATTCAGAAAGTGGAGTGGAAGGTTGCTGGTGGCTGAGGCCGAGCTAGATCATTCCTGCAGAGGCATGGAATCTCTTCCGTCTAATGTGGCCTTTTCAGGAAGTAGAAGTACATGGGTGCAAGGAGGGGGGGGGGAGCGAAGGAAATGAGGGTGACGAAGGAGATTATTAAAATTCTTACAAAGCACATGAGGAAGATCGGTCAGAGACTACAGACAATGGGACAATGGGGCTCCCAGGCAGGAAAGGGAGACATTCACCTTTGTCTGAAGGTAACAGGAGATGGAGACAAGAGACAAAAGGAGCAATTAGAAGTCTGTCGCAATTGAGGAAAAGAAGGATAGACTGTGGTCAGGAGACACTTCTGGGAGAAAACCAGCAGGATCGAATGCCTCTTTCAAAGTGGGGTGAGGAAGCAGGAGCTGGGGATGATGAAGTTTCCGGTTTAAGATACTCAGCAAGGGGTGACACAAATGAACTGAGACTGAGAATATCAGGATGTGAAGGATTTGGGGGTAGAAGGAAGAAGTACTGCTTAGGACATAGATAAGGTTGAGGTGGAACAGGTCATCCAATAAATATGCCCTGGAATAAGGATATAAATCAAAGGGCTCCAAAATTTTATGTCTGAATACCACTATTAATAAAAAGATTTGGGGCGCCTGGGTGGCTCGGTCGGCTGAGCAACCGACTGTGGCTCAGGTCACGACCTCACGGCTTTGGGTTCAAGCCCCACATTGGGCTCTGCACTGACAGCTCAGAGCCTATGCCTACTTTGGATTCTGTTTCTCCTTCTCTCTCTGCCCCTCCCCGCTGGTATGCATGCGCTCTCTCTCTCTCTCTCTCTCTCTCTGTCTTTCTCAAAAGTAAATAAGTAAACATTTAAAAATAAATAAATGAACAGGGGCGCCTGGGTGGCTCAGTCGGTTAAACGTCTGACTTCAGCTCAGGTCATGATCTCACAGCTCATGAGTTTGAGCCCCACTTCGGGCTCTGTGTTGACAGCTCAGAGCCTGGAGCCTGCTTCAGATTCTGTGTCTCCCTCTCTCTCTGCCCCTAACCCACTCACAATCTGTCTCTGTCTCTCTGAGAAATAAACATTAAAAAAATTTTTTTAATAAAATAAATAAATGAATAAAATAAAAAAGGTTTAAGAACATATCCCCAATATCTATCTGCTGTCTATCTATCTAAAAAATGTGTAGCACCTCACTAATATAAGCATCAGAAAAATGTATGACAGTAGAAATACAAAAGATGTGATAAGAAGAAATCATTTTTACTTCCTAATGATGAGCAGGCTAAAGATATTAAGATACTGCAAGTTGCCAAATTTTAAATGTATCATGAACCATGGATATCTGAAGTTTTCCTGGAAGAGAAAATTTTCACTCACTAGTAAAATAGCCACAAACAAAAGTCTGGTTTAAGAAGCCATTAGAAATTATAGTAAAGCCCCAAATACAGTTTACCTATGTATACAGTGCTAGCACGCAGCTAATCATATTTTTACGTGACTAAGGCATTCTGAAAACGCCTGTTGGAGGACAGATGGAGTCTGAAATCCAGCTCCCACCTTGGCTTTTCCCAGAGAGGCTGTTTTCTCCCGCAGTTCTGCATACTGCCTTTCAGATTCATTTAGGTTCGCTTCCACACTGTCCATCCAACTGGAAAACTGTCGAACATCATCCTGATAACTTGTCCACTTAGAAAGAGCTCCTTCAAGTTGACTGAAAGGTATTCGAAAGGACAACAATCTACATTGAGAAGCCACATAAATCCAATCTGCCCAATCTCTATCTGCTCTGCTCTGTCCACCCGACCAGCAGGGAGCCCACAGATCAGGACAGGCAGGGGCTGGGTCGGGATGGGCGGAAAGGCAAGGGCTGATCAAATCTGAGTCTGGGTCCCTGGCAAGCATAACCTCAGGAAGCAAGGGACAGTTAAGTCCAGGCTGATAGGTGGAAAAGTGGGACTGGACATAAAACTTGGAATCAGTAAGCAGGTCATGGGAGACCCTGGGAGAGGCTTGAGGGCCAAACTGGGAGAGATCCCTTGTGGGAAGCTTTTCCGGAGTCAAGACTCTAGGGAGGAAGAGGACCAATACTTAACTCCGTCAAGTTGAGCAGGACGTCCAGAGAGAAAAAAAAGGAATTAATAAAAGAAGGAAGGAAGAAGCAAATAAGAAAAAGCACAGTAACTATCTTGCATGAGATTTAAAAATCAGAAAATCATGGGGTGCCTGGCAGGCTCAGTCAGTCAAGCATCTGACTCCTGATTTTGGCTCAGGCCAATGATCTCACAGTTCATGAGTTCGAGCCCCTTGTTTAGCTCTGCACTGACAGTGCAGAGCCTGCTTGGGATTCTGTCTCTCTCCCTCTCTTTGTCCCTCCCCGACTCATGCTTTCTCTCTCTCTCTCTCTCTCTCTCTGTCAAAATAAATAAAATAAAAGAATATAAAAATAAAAATCAGGGGCG